GTCTGGTGACTGTGGAGGCCATTTGAGTACAGTGAACTCATTGTCATATCCAAGAATCTGAGATGATTCATGGTTTATGACATGGCGCGTTATCCTGCTGGAAGAAGCCATCAGAAGATGGGTGCACTGTGGTCATAAAGGGATGGACATGGTCAGCAACAATACTCAGGCAGGCTGTGGGGTTGAACTGATGCTCAATTGGTACTAATGGGCCCAGAGTGTACCAGGAAAATATTCCCCACACCATTACACCACCAGCCTAAACCGTTGATACAAGGCAGGATGGATCCATGCTTTCATGTTGTTGATGTCAAATTCTGACCCTACCATCTGAATGTCGCAGCAGAAATCGAGACTCATCAGACCAGGGAACGTTTTTCCCATATTTTATTTTGGTAAGCCTGTACGAATTGTAGCCTCAGTTTTCTGTCATTAGCTGACAGGCGTGGCACCCACTGTGGTCTTCTGCTGCTGTAGCCCATCCGCCTCAGGGTTCAACATGTTGTTAATTCAGAGATGCTCTTCTGCATACCTCGGTTGTAACAAGTGGTTATTTGAGTTACTGGTGCCCTTTTTATCAGCTCCAACCTGTTTGGTCATTCTTCTCTAACCTCTGGCATCAACAAGGCATTTGCACCCACAGAACTGCCGCTCATTGGATATTTTCTCTTTTTCGGATAATTCTCTGTGAACCCTAGATATGTTTGTGCATGAAAATCCCAGTAGATCAGCAATTTCTGAAATACTTGGGCTGTCTAAGCAACCATGCCATGTTCAAAGTCACTTAAATCACCTTTCTTCCCCGTTCTGTTGCTCGGTTTAAACTGCAGCAGATCGTCTTGACCATGTCTACATGCCTAAATGCATTGAGTTGCTGCCATGTGATTGGCTGATTAGAAATTTGAGTTAACGAGCAGTTGGACAGATGTACCTAATAAAGTGGCCGGTGGGTGTAAAAAAATTTCTTAAATGTATGCATGCATTTGTGCATTTGTATATGCATTATACATATACATACACACATATATTGTGTCAAAACAAACTTTTATTTTGAATGTAATTAATCACGATAAATCTTTTTTCAGCATTATATCACTCTCATGCATTATATCAAATCTCATTTTAAAAGCAACTGATTCTGTTCACATATTTGTAAGTTAAGTTTTTTTGTTAACACTTTAGTTTAGTTAACAATTCACAGTATTAACAAACCATTAACTAACACTGCTAGCTTTCTAATAAATTTGATAAAAGAATAATAAAATTAGCTGCTTATTAATAGTTAGTAAAGTAAAAGTTGGGTTGAGATTTTGGGTAGGATTAGGAATGCAGAATAAGATCATACTTTATAATTACTAATGAACAGTTATTATCTTAATAATAGACAGTTAATAAACCAGTAGTTTATAGCATAATTGTGATCTAAACAAAAGTGTCACCTTTTTCTTTTTAAATTTCTACAAGACAAAGGTGAATATAAAAATTAAAGTGTCACCATTATGATTGTCATGCAGGTCTGAGTGTTCTTTTTTAGGATTATGTGCATTAACATTTTGTTCTCATACATTTAACACCTTCATCCTTTCTAATGCACAGCCGCCAGCTTCATCACAACACTGCGTCTCTCCACCATGCTGTGCCAACTGCTAAATCTCATCTGTGCCACTCTGCTCTTTGTCATTCAGCCTGAGGTGCCAGTCCTCCTCAAACAGAGCTATCCTGGAACAGCACAGTCCCATAACCGGCTTAGACTCTCCCTCGATTTCATCAGACCTGAGACCTTTTCTCCAGCAGGCCCTCACTCCCCCGACCGCTGCTCATCCTGTACTCAGAGCGAAGCATCCACTGCAGTGCTGGAGGAGTTGAGGGCGTTTGGACTGGGCCCCGAGGGCGGCTCTCGTACCCCTTCACCAACACTCAGCCAGATGAGTGTTGTCACAGACAGCATGGGGTTACACTCCCCTGCAGCTAGCAACATTAATGTAACTATTCAACGACTACTGGACGCTCTTTTCTGTCTTACAGCTTCTAGTTTTTTCAAGAATTCCTCTTTTTCAATTTTAAAGGGGCCATATTCAACATTTGATTTTTAAATTATGATGATATTTTGTTGTTATATGATATATGGTTTTTATTATGCAATTCAGCTTCACAATCAATTGTTAGATAATTTTAATCAAATCTCAAACACGTATGCATACCTCTCAAACATGCATACTCTCCCTTTTTTTGTCAAGATTCTCCCGTATTTTACCATTCCATCCTGTTAACATCCTGTTTCACTGTCCCGTGTTTTTAATATTTTTATGAAAAGTTAAATAGATTGGGGTGGTGGTGGGGGGTTGGGTTGGTGGACTAGGGGGCACTTTTCATTTTTGTTTTTACAGGGCACTTTTTTCCAAGAGGAAAAAGGGCACGTGCACTGCACAGGTTGAACCCAATCTGTGCATGTGCCTGATGGCTGCATTCACTTCAGTTAAATTAAAGCTGAGACTGCATATCTCAGTAGCTATGTTCCCATCCAAAAATGCGAATAAACTTTATGCGCAAAACTGGATAATTGCATAAAAGAAGTGCGAATAAAAGCAGTGCTTCCATCAAAGTGAACAAAACCATCACTTCCTGACTAACTGGCGCCAAAAATCAACAGTAAAAACATAATTTGCTGTGGTATGAGAAGCTGCGTCAATCTTTTCTTTGTTTAGTAAATGACTTGCACCTCAGAAGGCAATACTGACATGCAGTGAATGCGCGGTGGCGTTTGAAGGTGTCAGAGCCATTCTTTATTTGTAATACATTTATTTACATTACATTACATTACATATATACAATTAAAACACTCTTTGCAGTCATTTTGAAAGTTCTTCTGGGTAGATTTAAGGTTTTTTTTTTATTATTAATTTTTTTTATATATATATTTGATTCCTGATCTGGATGTAATGTTCGATTCCAATCGAGTCTGAAACTGCGTGATTGGGCCCGATTTCCAATCACGTGCTCGAATCTGGACATCCCTACAAAAAATACAGAATAGATTGCTTTCAAACAACAGCTAATAAGGACACTGAAGACTAGAGGATCTAGGTAGTCCACTTGACGCCAGGAGAGTGAGGTTTGCTTGCACAGTTCCCCCTAATGTAGTCCAATACACTCATTCAAGCAATTTTATTTACAGAACTAATGTAACCGGTCTGGTTCTACTCATCCCACTCCAATAGAAAACTGATATCCCCAGCGCTGGGTGCACATATTGTATGTAAAACAAAATATCACTGCAATGTGAAATTGTGCAGCTCTGGAATGCATCTCAAAAAACCATTTTCTCCAAAAATATTTTAAAAATACATTTTTATCGATCCCAATCTTTTAAATGACGTTTTTGTATTTGTATTGAACATGCACCAGAACTTTTTTCTTAGCTATTTGGTCATTTTCATAATATGTCCCCTTTAATTGTACAAATGCTTTCAAATTAAAAATTCTCCTTTCGTTTTTCCTGTCTCATTCTTATTTCTTTCTAAATGTATTGTTTCATTTCGATGGTTTCATTACACTTAATTTTAGTAGCTGGTTGAACAGATGCCAGAATCACTTGTCCAGTGTTCACATTTAACAGCTTCTGCCTTTCTTTTCACTGTAACATCTTGGGTTATAGCGATACTAATCACCTTTACATTTATAAACTGTTCATAGGGGTCTTGAGGGTCTTCACTAACACCTTTGGCATTCAGATCGTCGTGTTGTTGTGCTGCCTTTTTTTCAGTATGACACCATCTTTAGAAGCAGGAGAACATGGTTTAGTTGAGATTTCTTTTTATACTGCTCAATTTATGGCTCTCTTTGTATACTAACACTTGTCTATGTAGGTGGGCACTTTTTGTGCACTACGAGATTGTTGGGGTTTTGTTTTTATTGTTTGTTGTTCTGTTCTTTATCCAAAGTCATCTGAGACATAATAGTGCAATCTTAATGCTGTTTATTTATCCTAAAGATGGTTCTTCAGTTAATAGGGTTCTATGTTGTGTTATGCAGGGCCAGATGACTGTAAACGGTGGTCTGAGTGTGCCAGCAAGTCCTCGTAGTCACATCCAGAGACCCTTCTCTCCCTCAACATACCCTCCTCCTCCTTCACTGAGTCCCAGTATTACAGCAATGCAGCAGCAGGCTAGAACCACTGGTGAGTGCTGAAGCTGAATGCACACTTTCTTGTGCACGTGTGTGTGTGTGTGTGTATGATGTTCAGAATTTCATTATTGATTTCATCATTTGTAGAAGCTAAACTTTGAATTAGGTAGTTGCATATAATTTTGTAGCTAGTATAACCACAGCCACAGGTTGTATAACCTTATAAAATGTCTATAATATGAAACATATTCCTAAATAATGAATCAAAACCATATAGTGTGACTACATTAGTCAACACTTGAAGTGGATCAAATAAAGGTTTTCCAAATTGTCCAAAGTTTGACTCATGAACAACTGAGTCTATTAAGATTGTCCTTATGAATGAATCATAACTACAATGTGATCTGTGTAGTCTGATTTATGAACAAATGACTCTCAAAGACTCTTAAAGTCAGTCCTTTTGAGTGAATCACTTCACTCAAAGCACTTGAGTACTTTACTGTATTGTTTTACTTTACACCTATTTTTTGTTGTCAGTGCACTTTTATTATGTGTTTTCTAATTCCTGTTGTTACTAACACTCGCAAAACACGGGAGGTACGCTGCAGGCGTAATCCTCACAACCTTCGTTCAATACATGTATCTACTATTTCACAACTCTCTCTCTCCGTGGGCCTCTGGAACTGTCAATCAGCTGTTAACAAGGCTGATTTTATTACCTCCATAGCTACATATTCTGACTATAATCTCATGGCGCTAACTGAGACCTGGTTGAGGCCGGAGGACACTGCTACACATGCTACTCTTTCTGCTAATTTCTCTTTTTCCCACACTCCTCGTCAGACAGGGAGAGGGGGTGGGACTGGACTACTAATTTCCAAAGAATGGAAATTTACTCTGATACCGTCCCTGCCAACAATCAGCTCCTTTGAATTCCATGCAGTCACCATTATCCACCCCTTCTACATAAATGTGGTTGTCATCTACCGCCCACCAGGTAAATTAGGTCACTTCCTAGATGAACTGGATGTTCTTCTCTCATCTTTTTCTAATTTTGCCACTCCCTTATTGGTGCTAGGTGACTTCAACATTTACGTTGACAAACCGCAAGCTGCAGACTTTCAGACTTTGCTTGCCTCTTTTGACCTAAAAAGAGCACCTACTTCTGCTACCCACAAATCAGGTAATCAGCTAGACCTTATTTACACACGACACTGCTTCACTGATCAAACAATAGTAACTCCACTACAAATATCTGATCATTTCCTTCTGTCTCTCAACATCCACATTACTCCTGAGCCGCCACACACTCCAACACTGGTTACCTTTCGCAGAAACCTACGATCTCTCTCACCCAATAGACTATCCACCATTGTTTCAGACTCTCTTCCTCCATCTCGCAAACTCGCTGCACTTGATTCGAACAGTGCCACTAATACACTCTGCTCCACACTAGCATCATGTCTAGACCGATTATGTCCTCTTGCATCCAGGCCAGCCCGTGCCAGTCCTCCTGCACCCTGGCTCTCGGATGCTCTCCGTGAGCATCGCTCAAAACTTCGGGCTGCAGAGAGAATTTGGCGGAAAACTAAAAATCCTGCACATCTCTTAACATACCAAACTCTTCTGTCCTCTTTCTCAGCTGAGGTTACTTCTGCAAAGCAGACGTATTACCGTCTGAAAATCAACAATGCCACTAATCCTCGCCTACTTTTTAAAACATTTTCCTCCCTCCTCTATCCTCCTCCTCCACCCGCATCCTCCACACTTACTACTGATGACTTTGCTACATTCTTCTGCACCAAAACTGCAAAAATCAGTGCTCAATTTGCTGCACCTACAACAAACACGCAAGATACAACACCAACACCACACACACTCACCTCTTTTTCTCAGCTCTCTGAGTCTGAGGTGTCCAAACTTGTGCTATCTAGCCATGCAACCACCTGTCCACTCGATCCCATTCCCTCTCATCTCTTGCAAGCCATCTCTCCTGCAGTCATACCAACACTGACTCACATAATTAACACATCTCTTGACTCTGGTTTATTCCCCACTACATTTAAGCAGGCTAGGGTAACCCCACTGCTAAAGAAACCCACCCTGGACCATACGCTACTTGAAAACTACAGACCAGTATCCCTGCTTCCATTCATGGCCAAGATTCTGGAGAAAGTAGTGTTCAATCAAGTCCTGGACTTTCTTACTCAAAACAATCTCATGGACAACAAGCAATCCGGCTTTAAGAAAGGCCACTCAACTGAGACTGCCCTGCTCTCGGTCGTGGAGGATCTCAGACTGGCTAAAGCAGACTCTAAATCATCAGTCCTCATTTTGCTGGACTTGTCAGCTGCTTTTGACACTGTCAACCACCAGATCCTGCTATCTACGCTTGAGTCACTGGGCGTTGCGGGCACTGTTATACAATGGTTCAGATCTTACCTCTCTGACAGGTCATTCAGGGTGTCTTGGAGGGGAGAGGTGTCCAACCTACAGCATCTAAACACTGGGGTACCTCAAGGCTCTGTTCTTGGGCCACTTCTCTTCTCCATCTACACATCATCTCTAGGACCAGTCATCCAGAGACATGGATTCTCCTACCACTGCTATGCTGATGACACCCAGCTATACCTCTCTTTTTTTAATCCTGATGATCCCTCGGTTCCAGCTCGTATCTCAGCCTGCCTGTTGGATATTTCACACTGGATGAAAGATCATCATCTTCAGCTGAACCTCGCAAAAACGGAAATGCTTGTAGTTTCTGCCAACCCGACTCTACACCATAACTTTTCAATCCAGATGGATGGGGCAACCATTACTGCATCCAAAATGGTGAAAAGCCTTGGAGTAACGATTGATGACCAACTAAACTTCTCTGACCACATTTCTAGAACTGCTCGATCGTGCAGATTTGCACTCTATAACATCAGAAAGATCCGACCCTTCTTATCTGAACATGCAGCTCAACTCCTTGTTCAAGCTCTTGTTCTCTCCAAACTGGATTACTGCAACTCTCTACTAGCTGGGCTTCCAGCTAACTCTATCAAGCCTCTTCAACTGCTCCAGAATGCAGCAGCATGAGTTGTCTTCAATGAACCTAAACGAGCACATGTCACTCCGCTGCTAGTCCGTTTGCACTGGCTGCCAGTTGCTGCTCACATCAAATTCAAAACTCTGATGTTTGCCTACAAAGTGACTTCTGGCCTAGCACCTTCTTATCTGCACTCACTTCTGCAGATCTATGTGCCCTCCAGAAACTTGCGTTCTGTGAATGAACGTCGCCTCGTGGTTCCATCCCAAAGAGGGAAAAAATCACTTTCGCGAACGCTCACGCTCAATCTGCCCAGTTGGTGGAATGAACTCCCTAACTGCATCAGAACAGCAGAGTCACTCGCTATTTTCAAGAAACGACTAAAAACTCAACTATTTAGTCTCCACTTCACTTCCTAATCTGCAATTGCCTCTTTGAATATCACACTAATTGTACAAAAAAAAAAAAAAAAAAAAAAAAAAAAAAACTACTAACACTTCCCTTCTTAGACTTTACAGACCTGAAACTTGCCTTTAGTACTTATTCATTGTTGCTCTTAGTTGTGTAAATTGCTTCCTTGTCCTCATTTGTAAGTCGCTTTGGATAAAAGCGTCTGCTAAATGACTAAATGTAAATGTAATGTAATGTAAAATGTGAATCAAAAACACATACTTGATTCACAAACAAATTACTCCCGAAAGTACATTCAAAATATGAACAGCAAAGTATTATGCTAAAAAGCAGATCTTTTCTTGTTAATTTAAAACATACAGCTTGCCAAATGATTCATTAACAAATTGATTTTACAAACTAAAATTTTTTAGTGAGTCAAAAACATACAATGAGTTCAGTCTGATGACTCTTGCAAGACTTATTTGACTGATCTGTCCTTTTTATTAAGTGTTAACAAGGGTGTCTGATTCATTGACAAATGTCCAAAATTACTCAGTCCTTAATCAAGTTTTTTTTAGTCGATCAAAAATGATCAGTGCAGTCTGATTCCCAAATTAAATAAGGATAGTCTTTTTTTACACATACAAAAACATTTAATGTGATCGAAGCAGTCTGATCTGTGAATGAAATACTCTTACAAACCTGTCCTTTTGAATGATTCAGATGCATCAGATGAATCATTCAAATCTGATTTGAATGATTTGAATGATTCATTCAAATATACTATACTGTATAGTCCAGGGTCACTAAAGACCTGAACATGTAAAAATAATTCTCGAAATATTCATGCATTTATGTAAATATTAAATGAAGAATGGCCATATTTTTGCATTATTTTATAATTATTAAACAGACTTGTTTAAATTATTCCGCTTATGATTGCCACACCTAAAGAAATTGTTCATTGCTATAGGAAAGCTGTATTTCTGGACATTAATAAAAAAAGAGCCATACATTACAATTAGCATAATTAGACTTTCTTTAAGATAATTTTTAATAAAATAAATTTCTTTTAAGATTATTTTAGTTTTAGCAGAAATTAGTGAATGTTTAGAAATGTGTTGAAAAAAATCTTCTTTCTTTAAACAGAAATTGGGGAAAAATATTCAGGGATGCTAATAATTCTGACTTCAGCTGTAAATGGCCATTGCTGATGTAAAAGTAAATCTCAACATCCACCTGTTCATTTGTAAATATAAGCACAACCTAAATAGATGTCATAAGTGTTGCAGTAAAGCTGTGAAAATGCTCTCCCTGGACTGTGAGAAGTCACCAGTGAGATGTGCCAGGTTCTAATGAAGCACTAATGAGTATGAAAGCGTGACCTGACTGCAGTGCTGCTTACCGGCCGTGTGACACTAAGCGTATCCCAACCTGCTCCGCTCTGAATGCGCGCCCGCGATCTCTCTAATCCCAAGTGGCAAATGCCAGGGATTAAAGCTCCAGTCTGAACGGGGCTGAGGGAGGAGCTGAGACACTGGGATTAAAGTGTCTGTGTGCGTGAGGCTGGCCTTTGTCTCCGAATCAGAGCTCGTTTTGCTAGATTTCTCCCCAAAAGGGTTTCAGTCTGGATGGCCGTAGACCGGAGTGTGGAGTGTGGATTACTATTCTATGTCAGAATGCTGGAGTCAACATATTAATGGATTTTTTTCTCCTGAATTGGAATAACAGTTCCTGACCTGGCTGTATTTCACAGTTACAGACATGGGAATGTTGCTTAGCTCAAAGGGAATTACTAGAAACTCGCACACCCCCAAAAGCTGACCCTGCTTTCCTCCCATCAGCCTCCAGCACTCCAATCTACGCCAACGTGGATCCTCCTGCCCGAGCGCCGCATACTGACAGGAGAGAAACAGCAGGGAAAGCTCCGCACTATACTGGCATCGGTCCTGTGGATGAGTCTGGGATTCCCATAGCAATACGGACGGTGAGCGACTGTCATTCAGGAGTCTTTTTCTTTTGTTTTATATTGATGCTGTGTTGTTTAGAATAGATAGAATTATTTGCTACTATATTATATATTATTGTTAAGCACACAAGTAGCAAAATACAAAATTAAGGTGTTTTATAAAAAAAATTTATAAAGTATTTTATTATTTTGATGTTTTTTATTTTTAATTTGTTGACTTTCACTGTAAAAATGAAGAATTCCACACAATTAATTTGTTTTGGGACTATGTGAAGGAATTAAGTAAACTTATTAGTTTTTACAGATGTTTGTGGAAGAAACAAAACAAGTTGTCCTCAAAAAACTAAAGTATTTCAGCTCATTTTAAATAAGTTTAACTTAAATAAGTAAATTTGCAAATAGCAACATCATTTTTTTGAGTGTGTGATTTTTTTATCTTGACATTTCTATTTCAATTTTATGCTCACAACTTGTACTATACGTATAAACGTATTTTACAGCATTCTGGTTATGGAAATAGCATGAAATGAAATAATTTGCCAGTTTAATTATCATATAGAATGCCTAATTTGACAAAACAGCAGCTTATTTGCACTGTGCAATAGTTATAATTTACTCATATAGATTGATAGAAACAGCAAAAAATGCTTCTCTTACATAGAGCTCTTGTTTTTTTTGTTTGTTTTTTTTGTCCCAATATCTGCATATATATCCCTATAGACCAATCAATTCAATGTGGTTATGTGAATGGACCATGAACGTTTCCTGCTTGTTATCAAACTATTTCATAACTGTAACAAAAGACAATTTAATCATAACTTATTATTAACACAGCTATCATAACATTATTTATCAATATGTGGGTCTTTTTGGATTTTTGGAAGCTGTAGAAATTAAAAATGTAAAACAGGAAATGCTTTGGGACCACTGTTTTTGTTTACATGCATTAAAAGGGTCTGTATATTCTAATTCCAAAGCGAAAATGAGAATTGCAGTGTTTAACGTACCCCATTGGCAGATTATTTTGCTTTGTTTAAGAGAAAACTCACTTAATTTTGAGATATTATTCCTGAAAACAAGATCTTTTACTTGTCTATAAAAAAGTTCTTGATTTTAGAATTTGTGGGTATTTTCATTAGAAACAAGACAAAAACTAAAACAATAAAAATAAGAAATGTAATTTTTGCTCTGAATAATTATTAAGTAATTTTATAAGTACCAAACATAAACAATGAACACATGGTAAAATGCCAAACTGTCACATTGGTAATTTATTTTAATGGACCATTAATTATTTAATTAACCATTATTTAATTATAAAAAATGGTTAGTTATTTACTAACATGAACAAACTATATATATATATATATATATATATATATATATATATATATATACTAATGGACCATTCTTCTAAAGTTACCATCACGTTTTATTATAATTGAACCTTATACAAATACCTAACGCTAAAGAAGACTTTGTACTGTAACTACCACTCATTTAACATGCAAGCAAAAGTATGACAAACATTATAAACTATAAAATTCATTTTGAGAAATGTTCGCCTCCTAACACTTTATTGGCAGTGGACACATTGTCGGAAGTGCATACCTATAAATGTTCATTCCAGAATTAATCTTCAATCGGTCTCTGGTCACACGGGACATGCTGTTTTGATTTGTGCGCTAAATTGCATTTTCCCACACAGAGCTTTATTTAGCCTTGGGGAAACAGGCAGCTGCGCTCAGCATCATTGATGGACCAGCAGACAGTGATGAGTCTCTCTCAGCTTCACACAGACAAGCCAATTGCATCAGCATTTTTTTATAGCAGCTTTTAGATCCAGACTTTTGGACTCAAGGTCATGGAGCTCATTCGGGTTGCTGTTTGTTTCCTAAACTATGTTTCTGGACTCTGGAATCTTAATCTGTGAGGGAAGGCCTGAAAGCTAAAAAATGCTTGTTTGTGTGTTGTTTTAGACTGTTGACAGGCCAAAAGATTGGTACAAGACCATGTTCAAACAGATTCATGTGGTGCCTAAAACAGGTAAGACTGAATCTTTTGTATTTATTTGTCTTTTGTGTTGCCTATAAATGCATGTGTGCATGTTTATAGACATCTATTTAGCCCTTTTTTCAGTTTGGCTAAAGTTTTATTGAGCATTTAATGTTTCATCTTTGTTTATTTTTATACATCGAATAATATAGTTCCTCTCGGGACCTTCAGGACCAAAAAAAAAAAAAAAAAATCAGATTATTTATATCTCACTGCCATTTAAACAAAGGTTCATACGTTATATGTTAACAGCCTTCCATTTGGTTTGAAACACTTTCAAAATAATTATGTAATTTTTTTTATGTTTACTGCAGCTTAAATGAATCAAAATGCTGTGTTTATTATTATGCATTCATTGTGAATTTTAGAGTTTGATTTGTATGTACAGTATATAACGACATATTTGTATAAGTATGAATGGAGCAGTTTTTGTTTGGCACTTGGCAAAAAATAACAACGCCTTAAAATGAACTGTTTCTGGTCACTGACTTACATAATCATTGACTGTAATAATACTACAAAACTCTTCTTAGCCATTAATACACTGAAACAAATTGATTTCACTCGTTTTTATTCAAAACAACAGAGGCATTATGTAAACATGACAATCTAAAGGATTAAAATGTTTAAAATGAATGCATCTTTGGTCATTTCATTAGTACTGATGCTGGTAAAGAAATAAATGTTAACTGAAGTGATATATATTACTATATTAAAATACTTTTGGTATAACTTATTAAGGTACAGGAGCTGTCACCAGGGCAGTACCTTTTCAAAAGGTACACATTTGTACCTGAAGGGTCTATAATTATACCTTAAAGGTATTTTTAGGTACATTTGGGCACTAATCTGCACCTTTGAGGTACCACTGTGGACTCTTTGTGTACAAATATGTATCTTTTGAAAAGGCACAACCCCAGCCACAGCTCCTATTCCTTTATTTCTGTGTACACTATGAACCATTTATTAATGCATTAGCAAATAGTTGATCCCTTATTTGTTAAGCATAAACTCTACAATAATAAATGTTAGTAAGCAGTTTATATATATATATATATATATATATATATATATATATATATATATATATATATATATATATATATATATATATATAGTTGGTGTAGAATAGTTGGTGTTTTTTTTAAGTAATTTTAAGTTCATTTAAGTAAATGGTTACACTATTCAAATTAAGATTCATATATCTTATTATTCCAGCATATAATAATAGTTGCATTGTATGTTTATAAATGCTTTATTAACTTAACTTCATCCAGTTTTGTGACCTAATCAGAAAAGCAGAACAAGTCTATTTCGCTTACAATTTTCTTGTCATAGCTCACTGACAAACCAACATATTATTCCCTTATTTAGACTTCTTTAAAGCATTTTATTTGCTACTGCACATAGCAATAAAAAGACAGACACATGATCATGTAAAAATAATTAACTGTTTTGTGATTTGATGGAAATACAGTGTGCTGTTGTTGTTTAAATTAAATATGACAAGTTAAAGAGCTATATTTTCGGTGCGACTGTGAACAGTCTGCTAAGAGGGTAGTTTTTTTTTTTGCAGGGAAGGGCAATTTAAGGCCACCTAAAAGGAGCGACAATAAAAGAGCTTTACTCAGCAGGCTGTGAATTAGAAGTGCGTTCATTACTGGCTGTCAGTGGGTTTGCCTGGGAGATTACAGGGGTCACTAGATCAGCACCTTCATTTCACATCTTATGTCGTTTTAGTTGTCTTCATTCCACATCCTGCATATAAATAAATGTGTTTGTTTTAAGTTTAAAGGACTCTGTGTGGAGCTTGTTTGTGTTACAGTATGTGTGTAATCCATGTTAATCGTGTTTATTTGTTTTCACAGAGATCGAGTGGTCCGGGTCCCGAACTGCCACAGATCCTGTTACAAGTCCAGCTACAACTATTTCCAAACAAGGTTTCCTATTGTTTTACATTAAAATAGATTGTTGATGCCAGAAAATTAAACAAACAAGTAAATGTAGGACAAAACAACAGTGTGATTAAGGAATAGTACAAATATTACATCACTATTATTATTATTATTATTTAAAAAGAATGATACATATAATAAATAATAATTAATTTTATTACAATATATATATATATATATATATATATATATATATAAGCAATATCTCACTAGTAGTAGTGCGATGTGGCTGTATATCGGCACTGGTGAGAGACGTGTGTTGGCAGAAGGGTGCAGACCATATAATCTTAAAATGTTAGCACTTTAGATATTAATAAAGAGAATCATTTAAATACTAGCTCTAAAGTGATGTTGGTGAATTAGTAACGGCTTCTGCTAATCTAAGTAATTTAAAAAAAATAATCTTTTCTATAAAAATGTTCTCATTTATATTACTTTCCATTGTTGATATTCTTTTTAGATAAGCAAGCTGCCCCTAATGCTGTCCAGGCTCATCCTGCACCAAAAACCAGCACCTACCGGCCCATAAGCAAGAGTGTTTCCGACAATGGCATATATGCTTTCAGGCTGCCCGTCGCCTCTCCCCTGCCCACATCAACCTCCACACAGCAGAGACCCATTGAAAGAGAGGCTCCACAGAGAGGCAGAAGCACACCAGACATGTGAGAATTACTAATGCAAAAATATACTGCAACAATATTCCTCAGTTTCGGAACTGTCACTGGCTACCATAATATTGTCTTCAAAAGGCAATCATGACAAGTCTTACTGTAAGTCATACATTTTAAAGCTTAAAAATTTTGCTCATAAAACTGTCAGGCTATTACTTTGCTACAGCCATTCATATGTAAAATCATACATTTTAACTGCAAGATTTAATCACAACATCCATAACATATTTTCTGAAGGAAAATGTCTGAAAAAAAAAAAAAGTTTGCTATGATTGTTTGTTAGATGCTGAATTCAAATAAAATACCTATAGATTGTCTATACTGCTTTTGAATATGAGGTGTACTCCATAAATTTTGTGAGAAATATAAACAATAAAAAAACTAAATCTCATACAAGCAAATCTTTTAGAAGTCAGCCTCAAATTTGTAATGTAGCTTGTTCTCATTTATGGCTTTAATTTTCTAGTAGTTTTAGAAAAAATATAAAATTATGAAATAAATATATATAAAAAAAGCAGTGAACACTTTATTTTGATGGTCCATTTGAGTGTTAGTAGACTGTCTGCTTAATATCTGTTGATACTGCTCCTTCAACAGACATTTAACTGACTATTAGAAACTTTACGTACATTTCAACTTACACTAACCCTATCCCTTACCCTTACCCCAACCTAACAGTCTACTTACAATCTAATGAAAATTAGTTGGCATGTAGATGCAATGTAACTTAAATTCAACAAAGAGACCATCAAAATAAAATGTGACCAAAATGTACACTCAATGTATTGGCAAAAGATTTGGAAAACCCCTCCAAATCATGGATTTTTTCCCCGGTGTAACGAGGAGATTGACACGGAGGGATCCATTATGCAGTATTTATTAATCACAACTTCACTCAAACACACAATATGCACCGGAGTGCACACACACATCCACAGTAGTAGTAAGGGTATCAAGAATGATGATGAACAGACACAGAGTGAGTTACCAGGCATGAGTGGTGGGTAATGAGCGAGAATCAGAGTCCGTGTATCAGGCTTGGGTCGAGGGCAGGCAGCAAGTATCAGAGTCCGTATATCAGGCGTGGGTCGTGGGCAGGCAGAAGGCGAAGCAAAGTAAGAGACAGGCTGGAGTCGTACACAAGAGATCAGGCTGGGAATAACGCTCAGTAATGTTGGCTGGGGCTGAACAAGACTTTGCACTGTCTGAGTGTTTGAGTGCTGCTTATAAGAGGTACGTGGGTCATTAGCCAGATTCAAATCAGGTGTATGCGCAATCAGTGTAGATGGATGATGTAATGCTAAAAGTCCGGAGATGGTGGCCTCTGCTGGCCAGCGAGGGGAGTGACTGGGACCGAGTCGGTGACACCCGGTGATGTAGACTTACATTCACTTACATTTTTTTTTTCACCTTATAAACATCAGTTCAATTCAAAGCATTGAAGATTTTCAAGAATTAAAAAAACACATTGAACTGAACTAAACTGAACTTCAAATCTTAAAACGGGACTGACACAGTTTACATTTACTAGAACTTATATTTTAAGCTGCTCGGACACAATCTACATTGTAGAAGCGCTATAGAAATAAACATGAATTTAATTGAATTAAATTAAGTTGGACATTTTATTCTCAGGTCTATAGCTAAAAAGTGCAATCAAAAGTAAAGGGTTTAAATAGATGGCTGGATTTAAAGCAATATTTGTTGTCCTGCAGGAATGAATGGGGGCCTCCTGATAGAAAAGTGGACACACGGAAATACAGAGCAGAGCCAAGGAGCATCTTTGACTATGAGCCTGGAAAATCATCTGTTTTAGAACAGGAGAGAGCGGTAAGTAATCTTTAGTGTATTCACATTAATAAACAGCTTTTATTTCACACTTCTGCTTATGCGTTGAATACTTCTGATTTATGAGATTTTAGGACTAATTCATTATACTACTAGAACTAGAATACAACTAATTAAATTGATACTAGTATTTTTATTGGATGCTAGTGCATATTCAATATGTTACCAACATTTGTTTTAATTAATATTAAAATCTTAAATTGAACTGCACTTTAAAAGATAAGTAAAAAAAAAACAATTATTTACAGTAGGATGATCACTGTTACTAGTTAGTTTATGATAGTCAAATAATTAGGTATTTAAATCTGTTTAATATATACTAGTACTAAAGGTTTAAGTCTTAGTACCTATTAAACAAGAAAAGAAACTCTAAATATACTACTAGTATCTGTTTAATACTTATGAGTAAATAATAGTACTATCAAATAAGTACTACTGTCTACTTAATTTTTAGATGTCAACTTCAAATTAAAATGTAGCTTGATCAGATTTATGGCCTTGATTTTTATGTCTTTTTTGCTTTTTGCTTTCTGTCTGTATATAAAATTATGAACGTTACATCAGTCAAAAAGTATTTGTTTAATATGTCCTAGTACCAAATTAATAGGTTTTAGCTTCTATGAAATATTTTTTTATGATATTACTACTAATATCTAATTAATGGTTACGAGTATCTAGTATTACTATCGAATAAGTACTATCCTACTCTGTTTCATTGGTATCAGTATATATGGGGCGAAAAAACACTAAATGACAGACACTAACAGCTCCTAAATACTACAAGTACTAGTACTACTTTCATTTTTGTGTGAAGACCCAGATGAAATTAAATGAGTTATACACTGTCAGCATAATTTTAAACATTATAATTGTTTACACTTCATTTTAAGGTGCACTTGTTACTGTGTAACTATTTAAATACTAATAGTATTAATTAATTAAAAGTACATACTTTGTACTTTGTACTCTGGTTAGGGTTTAAATTTGGGTTAGGATCGGGTAGTTATATAATAGATAAAACTATATAAATCATTTTATAAATTATATAAATCATTTAATTTTAACTATTTATTTTATTGTTATTATTTGTGGTTTGTTTGAATTTAGCTTCATAAAGTTTTTGAGGCACAGAGTTTAGCATTTGAAGGGACAAGCATATTGATCTTACACCCCTTGGCTGTATGGGTATAGACCGATCGTAAAACAGATGCTAGAAATGAAATGCTATCAATTGGCGAGTCCATGGTGTCAGCAGCGCCGCAGGCATGACACATTATATGCTGATTGACTAAACAGAGTAACTCTTGTATATTAATAGAATTGTATTGACAACGTGCATGTCAACGGTGCTAGTTAGATGATAAGTGTTCTATATATGTTAAAATAATCACCTCAAACATTCGCCATGAACAAGCTGAAGTACTTCAGCAAACCTGTCACTTGCTGAAACGGATAAACCGTGAGTCCATTAGAGCGTAATGTGGTCAAGGTCACTAATAAAGTTAGGAAAACCAATTTGCTCCTGCTGGAACCGTTTGTCCTTGTGCACTGAGCATGTGTTATACGCTGCTGCCCTCTGCTGGATATTAGGGTTAAAGAAAAAGAGAGGAAAAAAAACTACGGCAAGCTGGTTTAACAATCAAAAATAAATATTCTAGTATCTACATTCATGCTACTAGTACTTATTTTTAACTACTAGTTTATTTTCCAATAATTACTTATACTTATTGATAAGATAATTATACTTTATTGGTACATATACAAATCAAGCTAGTACCTAGCATATGCTACTAGCAGTTAAATAGATACTAGTAATTATTTCAGTGGCGATCATAACTGTTCTACTATAACTAGTAACACATTTCAGTTTTGCTATTGAATTTTGTGAATCTAATAACCTATGTCAGACACTAGCACATAATCATTATTAAACAGATACTGCTTTTTTATTTAGTGTTTATTAGTTAGATACTAGTTGTGATTTATTACTTACTAGCACTAAATCATAACTAGGACGTATTGATTGTTTACTGACACTTAACTTATTTCTTTGTTATAGTTCTCAATAATTGTCTACCAATCATTAGTTTGTGACAATTCTGTCTAGTTGTAATATAAAAATACCAGTATATAATAAATACGTTTTCAATAAATATTAATGTGCAATGAATAATTTCTAGTGTCTATTTATTAAGTAGTTGTATTTGATGAAGAAGTAATATCAAATAATAATACTAATGGGTGATAGTATCTGCTAAAATAAGTAATTTATGCCTCGTTTCCACTGAGGGGTATAGTTTGGTACGGGTCATCTTGATCAGGCTACCAATGGTAGGCTACCCCTTTAGTGGGTGTGGTGTTCGACAGAAAGTTGCAGTTGACATCTTTCTCGCTTGAAGCTCACACGAGAAGCACATCTTACTAAACAAATGCTTTACTGTATATACGTGAATACTTACATATAAATAAATGTTCATTACTAATGTTTCTATGAACAGGATCTGACTATAGCTGCAGATCATTGATAATGTGAAATAGACTACTGTAACGTCTGCAATTATACTGTGTATATATATATATATATATATATATATATATATATATATATATATATATATATATATATATATATATATATACATACATACATACATATAATACATACATATTTATATATTTTATATATAAATAAATAAAACAATTTTTGAACACACAGAGACTCACAGTCTCTGAAATGTTACCATTGACATGTAAAAAAATGCCCAAAACTCACATTTAGGCCTTATTTTGGTTTATAAATGATACAAAACATATACAGTCAGTACAAACCTCTCATCGTTATTCTTGTTCTCATTTCAAGAATAAGACGAAGTTTGTTCATCTTTTAGGTTGCTGAAAGAATCATTTGCTCCTTTTTTCCGGCTTCTCCTTTGTTCTGTCGCGGTTCACTCTCGCCTCTGTCCATTTCTGAATTATAACCATCAGCTCAAGAAGTTTGTCATTTCAAATTTGGACATGCTGCGAGCTCTCTGGACAAAATGAAACCACTCCCGCTTTAGACTGCCTCGTAAAAACAACAAGACACAGGGCAGATTCTGCTCTTCTTTTTGGCTTTGTGGTTGTTCTTTAAGACGACAACAAGGTTTGTTTGAGCTCGGATTGACCCTGGCTTGCAATTATATATTATAATGGTGTAATGTTTCGGCTGTGTATTTAAAAATGGTGCTTCTATTGTTTTCATTCTCCTGGCTTCTGCACACACTTGTGACATTTCTCTGTAAACCAATAGCGTTCAGCTGCGCAACTGGCTCCACCTGTTGGTACCCTTTTGTTGTGCTAGGTACCCTTTGGTACCTTTTGACAGTGGAAACGAGCATAAAAGCATACCTACCCATACCGTACTCTAGCACTCAGTAGAAATGGACCATTAGTAGCCTAACTATTCATTTAATTTAGTAGATGGTGTCTTCTGAATGGGTAGTAGTATGATATCTATCTACTATATTTTAAACAGGTACTTGTAGTTGTACCTAAAGTATAATCATTGGTCATTGCAAATGAGTACTAATACTTCATGGATAAGTATCTAAAATTATGTTAAAATAATAAGCACTAGTAAAAGAGCACTATGAAACAAGATGCTATTATGTTTTATAGAATAAACGTTAAAACTGCCTGCCATAGCCTTTCTTTTGTTGTTGTTTTCAACTTAATATATATACCACATATAGCATAATACTTTTTGTGTGCTCTGTTGAACTTTACAAAGTGAAAACATTGATTTGTTACTTGTCTAAAGACATTCTTCATTTTGCATCTCACTGTCACATTCCTAAGTTTCAACCCTCCCTTTCATCTTCTTCTCCTGCTTGACTTCTCAACTCCAGAAAAGTAACTTAAGTCCAGAGGACATAGATTTAGAGAATGAGCCATGGTATAAGTTCTTTGCTGAACTGGAGTTTGGGCGGCCGGTAAGTGTGGCTTTGGTTTGGTGCTGTTAGCATGCGGCTTGTGATTGGTGTGAGGGTGTAAAGGTCACATACGTGCTGCACATGCTGTCGGTCCAACATGATCATGTCTGAAATGGCTGGTTGGACACTGTAACACATACCTTACGTTTGAGTTTGATGAATAACTAATATCAGGTTCTGTTTAGACCAGACTTGCTTTCTCCTACCAGCATTTCAGTCTTTCAGTACACAGTAAACTACTTTTTCATTCAACTAATGTACATTTTTGTTCAACTACTATACACTGCATGATTTTGCAAGTAGATTATGCCGCTCACTGCACAAGGTGTGTGTAGTTTTGTAGGCTTGGCGTGACATAGTTTTGTGAAAGGGATAGTTAATCCAAAAACTGCAAATTTGTCATTGTTTACTCACCTTTCACTTGTTTTAACTATTTGAGTTTTTATTTTCATGTTGAACACAAAAGACAATATTTTGAAGAATTTTGAAAACCAGTAGCCATTGACTTCCAAAATAAAGTTGATGCCAGTGGCTTCTGGTTACCAACATTTTTCAAAATATGTTATTTGATGTTCATTAAAAACCATTAAACATTAAAAATCGAGTAATGATCTTTTAAGGGTGAGTAAATGGTGAGTACATTTTGTTTTCTGGGTGAACTGTTCCTAAAAGCTGAAGTATTGCAGTGTGTAGTGTTTTGTTGCAGATATATTCAGTGTTAGTTGTTTATAGTCATACTTTCTCCCTTGTTACATCACTGTTTCTGTGTTCCTCCCCTCTTCCATTCCTTTGGGTGAAGCCTCCAAAAAAACTTCTGGATTACAATCCAGAGAGCGCTCCTCGATTTCCAGTGGAGGTAAAGAGTGAATGAATGAAGGAATAAGTGAGTGAATGACTAACTGCTCTACTTACTTGTTGCACTCTCAGACTGGAAGAGAGAGAGAAAGCTATTAATAGAAGTATGCACATTGCAACCCTTACATGTTTGACATTCATTTAACAGTTTCACTTATAACACAAAGCTCACTGTTTAAATTGAAGTAATACACTACTTAATACCTGAGATGTGGAACATATTAAAATAAGAAAAAAACTTACAGTATGTGAAGAGGATTTACTTTTTGATGCAATTTCCCTGTCTCACATAATCAGTGTTTTCCCCTGCCAAAACTCGATCAGATACTTAAATACATTTTTTTTTTGATATGATACAATGTTATAACTCAAATTCCTTATGCTTTTTAGTCACTTCTGAATTGTCAATGAGTACATTTACAGGACACCAATAATCTGATTTTGATATGATTAAGACAATATTCCTATTAAGAGTTTACCATGTAAACAGCAATTTTTGATTAATTTAATCCTATTAAAGTCATAATCAAACTAAACATAAATCTAATTAAGACGTGGAGTATTTAGTAAGATTATTGAAGTGTAGTACAGACATGTAAACACTGCAAACAAACTATTACCGTTGTGTAGGATTTCACCGCATTTTGCAAACGTCTGACACTATTCTCTGCACCTACCAGGTCAGTGAAGGACCACAAACACCTGCATTGTGAAATGCAGGGTTTTTTTCTCCATTTGGCATGCGGAGTCAAATGCCATTAAAAAAAACTCTTTCAGCAGTTCATACTCGCATCCAATACCTCAGTTTGTCACAGGGTGTCATGCATGAAATGTTTCTGAATGAAAGTGAAAATGCCAAACTGCAGTTAAAGTCGACAAATTAAAAATGAAACATCCGAAATTACATGAAACTCTGGAGGAAACGTGGATAGCGGATAGTGACAATATGACGTTGATCCAATTATGTGCTATAACATGTAAAATGAGATGATGTAAGAAACTTTCAAAAAGCAACTGGTGTAAACACTTACTGTATTTATATTAATGTCTTATTCAGATTAAGGCAAAGGCAAATAACTTGATTACTGATGTCCATGTAAACTAAGTCATTGTCTGTAAAAAAAATCGGAAATATTATATTGTCAATGTTATATAAATGATATATATATTATAATTTATATATATAAACTAGAGCCTCTGACATAAAAATGAAACACATATATGTATGTATATTTACGTTTAACTTATATAACTCTTATATGGTTTCCCAGTACTGGGTTGTGGCTGGAAGGGCATCTGCTGCATTAAATATATGCCAGACTGGCTGGCGGTTCATTCCACTGTGGTAACCCCTGATACAGTAAATCAGGGACTAAACTGAAGGAAAATGAATGAATGAACTACTATATGACATCTACAGGGTATCCACAGGGTTTTAAAAAGTCTTAAATTTCAAAAACAAAACTTTAGGCCTTAAAAAGTCTTAAATTCACTGAAATATTGTCTTGTAAGTCTTAATTTTAAACAGATCTTAATTTTCATTTGTTTAAGTGAAGCTACCCAATTGATCCAACACACATCCAACTATACATCTCAAAACTGTTTATAACTAATTTTATAACAGTCTGTTGTGCATACATTTAGCTTTTAAAGAGTTTTAAAAAAAGTTATGTTGGAAAAACATGTATGTCTACAACTACTTTATAAGGTCTGCTTGTTTTGACATTATTTCAAATATGTGGCTAGGAAATAACTAATTAATCATTTTTTTTCGTTCTACTGGGCCATTAAAAAAATTCTTAGTGTTTAGCCCTTTATAAGCATTAAAGCATTATAAGCATTAAACATAAGCGTTTCATTCTTCATGGTCATAAAAAGATCTTAAAGAGTATTTAATTTGACTAAATTTGGCAGAAACCCTGATCTATATGATATCAAAGCTTGTCAAAATTTATACTGTAAGCATGATAACATAAATGTATATATTTATTGGAGCTAAATTTATAGTATATTAAATTGTTGCAGATTTGTTTTTACTTCAAACTATGAACTATTTTATATAAGATTGTTACATATGTTTTTTTATATCTAAATCTATAACATTGATTAAACATTTGAGTTTTGTGTAATGAGAGTACTCAAGCGAACATTTCTTATTATAACAGTGGTAATACCGCTATTTACAAATGTACAGTACACATTAAAGTACAGTTACAGTTGTTCCATGTCTAAGAATCAATGCCCTGCATGTACATCCACATGGTCTTTATGAAAGTAAAGTTCAGTCTATTATTACATTGTGTATTTATGATAAGACAGGAGAATTTCCTGCTGGCTGTCATCCGTCCATTCTGTCCAAGTGTTTATAGTACATGAAGGATGTATGGTCATGCCCTCTGAGTGTTCATATTACACATCCTTCTTCACCGAGTGGCTTTTTTATGTCTTTTTAAAAATAGTTCACTGGCTGTCAAGGAGAAAAACTAATCAAGAATGCATTAATGTTGTTTTTTGCATGTGATTACCACCCCATTCAACATTGCAGACTTGAATATTGTGAATTTGGCACGTCTATAATGAGCTTCATTTACAAAGAAAGGAGGTGTGATTGAAACAGCACTAACACTTAACACTATGCGTTGGCTAGTTAAACAAGACACTTTATTTGGCATAGATCTTACCAATTAAGCAAGTTTGTTCCAAAATCACCCATTTTATGAATTACTATGTAAATGAAAGGATAATTCTCACCATTTACTCTCGGTCAAGTGTGTCCATACCTTTAATCCTTTTTCTGTTAAACACAATATAAGATATTTTCAAAAATGTTAGAAATCGTTGACATCCATAGCAGGAAAAACAAATACTATGGAAGTCAATTGTTACGTTTTTTTTCAACATTTTTTTAAACTAACTTCTGTTGTATTAAATGCAAAAAAGAAACCCAAATAGGCTTGTGACAATTGAAAGCTGAGGTAATTGACAAAATGTCAGTTTTGGGTGAATTACCTCTTTAAAGATAGATTATAACTCAGAGGCTGGTAGTAGTGACAGTTATGGTTTGAGGAATGTTGTAAATCCAAACAAAGTATTGCTAAAAATTGTCATGGAGAGTTTGCCAGCCAATTTTGAGCTTGCTAGTTGGGTGTCTGTCACTCAGAGCTGTATTTATGTTGACTAGATGCAAATGTGTCACACTGAAGAGACATTCTTGGTACTGCGTGCTTGGGCTACTTTTAAAGAGGGTTAAAAAAACGCAAGGGGCGTCTGCAGCTGGTTTGAAGAGCTGTTCCTGATAACACCACTCAGAGCTTCAGCAAACAGGAAGATGATTATCTACTCCAGCCATGTGTATAAGGAATTTCCTGCTTTGTTCGACATAGAAACCCTCGTAAGTGGTCGAATGCTGCCATGGGAATAGACAGCTGCCCATGCCACCACATCCAGGCATAAGGAATATCACCACCTTTTTGTTTTTTTACCATTGTTGGATTTATGAAAGAGGCTGCTGGCTATTAAGGCACCTACTTTATAGTATGTGTGGGCATTAAGTGAGGAATTCACCCTTTTTCTTGTGTTCTTCATCTGTTTCAGACCTCTCTTTATCAGCCATCCACTGACAGGAGCCTTGAAAGGCCATCAAGGTAAGTTTACTGTATATTCACTAGACATTCACATTTATCCATTTTATTACATTGATTTTTTTTAAATATAGAAGAAAAATATCAAATCAGGTGACATCTAAAACAGACTTTTCTCAAAACATTTTTAACGCAGCAAAGATCCACTAAGAATGACCTTGGAACTGGACGAAAGTCATGATTTTACAAAATAGACAAATATGATTAACATGTAGAAAGTGTTCAAATACTTTGTCTAATTTGTAACATTTTTGTCTCAATACTAATTATTTTATAATATAATTAAAATATAAAATACATGTATAACAATAATTATTAACTTAAGATCTATTGTTTTCATTGTCCAGTAAATAAAGAAAAGTTTACAAAATGTTTTCTTTCTTTAAGTGCCACTTTGTTTAAATTTCCTAATGCATGTTTTAGCATGAGGTCTGTACCCACATTTGGGGTCATTGTGTACTATAGGTGACAGGTCACGATATTAGTTTCAAAAGGAGACTTAATTTCATTGCAAACTATTAAAATAAACAAAGACTATTATCATTTATACTATAGCTCTGCAAGTGATAACAAGAAGAGGCGAAAATCCGAACCTGCTACCACTCAGCCAAGAGCTCACAGCAGTGTGGGCACAACACAAACATCTGTCAGACCACCAGAGCTGCCCAGGGGCAGCAGCACCCAGAGGAATCCCCTAACCAGCCCAAGCTCCCCCGCCACCACTAGAACTAAAGGTAAACGTCAAACGAGAAGTCGAAATTGTGCACATTATTGAAAGCATAAGCAACTGGGAAAGGTTCACAGACAATTTTTATTTTGCTCCAGCGCAGCACAAGCTGAATTTTAAACTATTTTCCCTTTGCATGAATAAAGGTCAATGAATTATTTAGTGTTTACAATCTTGCCACAGTGTAGAGTAGCATATCAACTGCCTCTATATTCAGGGGGGGCTTGTTGATCAAGATGTCTGATTTCTTTCCAGTTTTCTTCCAGGCCGTTGTATACACGTCCTTTTTCTCCTGTGGGGAAATTACCTTTTAATGTCTTCTCATGTCTCTTTTTTACCATGCTGCTTGTGGTGGATGTCTAAGGTGGGGATGTGAGCAATATGCACACAGCACATTCAAACTGTCTAAGTCCAAACCATTCTACCTCAGAACCTGTGTATCAAAACTATGGTGAAAATGAAGACAGTTTTATGGCTGTCCCAGCTGTCTCAAAAGGCTTCTCCAGCCTCCCAGAAGGCTGGAAACCAGCCCAAGAGAATTCAGAAGACTGGATGATCGCAGAGGAGACCTCACCTAAGCTCAAATCTTGGAGTTGTGATGACCTCCTGTCTGAGGGAAGGGGAAGAGAAGTGCAGACCCGTTGTGAAAGCACTGGCTCCTTGTTGCACAATGGGGAACTAGAGACATCACAATACTGTGATGTCCAAGAGCCTGAGGATCTTAGGGAGAGGACCCGCCACCGCTCTGCCCACGATGCACCAGGCTTTCTTAAACTCTACAAGAAGATGCATCACATTAACAGGCAAGAGTTGATCAACTCTACTGTGATCTGCTCTGTCAAATCCAGGATCCGTAAGTATGAGAGCGAACAGCGAAAGGATAGGCGGACTGGCAATAAGGGCTGCAACGAAGAGGTGCCTAGAGACATGGTGCACAACAGGATTTCTGAATTTGAGAGTCTGATTCAGAAGTCTAAATCCATGCCAAACCTTGGGGAGGAGTGCCTAATCAGAGGTTCTTCCAGGAGGATCAACAGCCCTAAGCGTAGCCTCTCTATTGAGTCGTTGCTAGATGAAGAACCACCAGCCAGGAATCCCCCTGAAGGACGACCCCAATACCCCAAGATAAACAACCATGTGCCAATTCACATCCATGTCACCAGTGACCAATTACAAAACTCTGCCATGCAGAATGATTATTCGGACAGTGAGCATGATGCTGTAGTGTCCGATCTTAGTGACTTCATCCAGATTGAGGGGTCATCTTTTTGCAGTGAGAGGGAGTTTGACTTGTGTTCATTTGCCTCCTCCGAAAGTTTCTGTGGATCTGGACACCACCATCATTTTCACAGGCAACTTGTGAGCTCCTGCAAGGGCCGCTGCCCAGCTTCCTATACACGCTTCACCACCATGATCAAGCACGAGAGGGCCAAGCAGGATCGGAGGCAACATTTGCGAGTAGAAGATTCTGAGTTTGGTCTCAGTAAGCTTGCATTCCTGGTCAGCCCAGTGCCTTTCCGTCGGAAGAACCTGTCACCTTTGAGTTTTTCCCGAATGTCAAACTCCAAGAGCTATGTGTACGAGACTCTAGATTCAGCTCTAAAAGACATCTATGATCACATCCGCACTGAGAAACGCAGGAGTAGCCTGTCAGAAAACAGCATCCTTCATAGGTTGTTGGTGGAGTTGCTTCCGGACATTCCTGAGAGGAATTCCTCCCTGCATGCACTGGGGAGAAACAGTCCTACAATTCAACCTCGCTCTTACCACCCACAACCTGATGGCATGTCCAGTCAGGACATTCACCAATCCGAGTACTGTCACCTGTCCCATAGTGCCTCTCACAACCATATAGACAGCAACAACAACCAGAGGAACCACAACTTTAAATACTGCTATCAAGGTGGACTCATCTAATCAATCTGTTTTTTTTCTGAAATCCTTTCATCCCTTGTGTTTGGTTTCTGCTCCATCATTGCTATGTTCCATTTGTGTTTGTGAATGTGCTTGCTTAGAGGTGGTGTACCTAAGCTTTCTCCCGGAGGGCCAATATCTTGCAGTTTAGCTCCAACGTGCTGTCTCAAATAAGACTGAATACCTAAATAAGCCAGTCCAATTGTGGTTGGATCTTAGACTACTGGATAGTGGCCCTCTAGGAGCAGGATTGGACATAGTGAAAGGAATTATGTTGCGAGGAACATCAGCAAGCATGACTCATTCCCACATCCTCCGCTCTGCATTAGTTTTGTTTTTGTTTTGTTGGTGTGGGGAAGGTGTTGGTGCCTGTGTCTTTCATTTTCTCATATTACATTGTCTTTGCTACTGTCTAATAATGTTCTACTATATACGGTATATAATACATTCCTGTATTTGGTAGACACCTTCATGCATTCAAAGTATGCATTTTATCAAGTTCAGATATTATCTGGGAATCAGGACACTAGAAAAAAAAACTACTTTGTGTTTGGGCTTACCACAAAAGAAATGTAACTTTGTGAAGTTTCAGTCTATATAAATAGCTTTGGACAGATGACTTGAGCAGCTGAAGCATGCAATCTAAAAACAGATTTGAGATTTTATTGGCTTGGGAAGAAACATGTTAGCTTACTTTTTACGTTTACTCTCTTAAACCTGACATATAAGACCTAATCAGCCTTAGTAAAGAATTAGCTATTTGTTTTGGAGAAGGCCAGTGTTTTAATTATGTTTTTAAAATGAAAGATATGCAACACATAGTCCGCAATGTTTATAAATGAGGAGGCTTCAGAGCAAGGGGGTTTGCCCACAGTTGGCACAGATGCCAGCTAACCATTAGCAGTTCTAGTATAAATACACATCTATACTGGGAATTTGAGTCTGGACGAAGGGCACAACATATCTTCTGAGATGATTCATGGAAATCATTATTATGGACAACAAAATATGTATACAGCATTTCTTTATTTACATATTTTTTTCATTGGACAATAAAATGTGTAAATTTGTATTTACTTTTTATTTTCTCCCACTTTATGTGCATTTTTCTCATCAGATCCCAAATTATTATTTCCTTTGCCATTGCTTGTTCCCATGCATGTCAGTGTTAAATTTCTATGAGACTTGTCTTTAAATCGGTTTTCTTTGCTTTTTATTCTAGACCAGGACACATCCAGAAATTACACTTACCCTGATGTGGGTCGGCAAACACCACAGAGCAGGAGACAAACCCCTGATGTCAAAGAGGTACTGTAGAGGAATATGCATCAATGTAATATTTTAGTAAAAACACTACGATTTTACCTAAGCTTTGCTCGAATTGTAACCACATGCAATAAAGATATATTGTGTTCTGCTTCATTTGCTTGACAGAAACTGCCAGCCAGAGCAATATATGACTTCAAAGCACAGACGGCCAAGTAAGAACAACTTGCAAACCATGTCACCATGTTCTGTTTTATTCTGCGTTAGATGTGCTACAATCAGTCAGTCAATTTGAATGCATTATTTATGTATGTCCTTAGCATAATCGTGTTATTTCCCCTGTGGAATCTAGTTGTCTTGATGTTTTCCTTCCAGAGAGCTGACGTTCAAAAAAGGAGACACAGTATACATCAGTCGGCAGATAGATAATAACTGGTATGAAGGAGAATACCATGGACATGTAGGGATATTCCCCATCTCATATGTGGAGGTGTGTAGAAAGCTCTCTGTCTTTGTGTACATTCAGTATAAAGATACTTCAACCTCTAATTTCTCTCTTTTCTCAGAAAATCCCTCCATCGGAGCGACATCTGCCAGCAAGACCACCTCCTCCAGCCCAGAGCAAAGAAATTGGAGAAGCAGTTGCCCGTTACAACTTTAATGCTGATACTAATGTGGAACTTTCATTAAGAAAAGTAAAAGTTTTATTAGTCTTGATGTCATAATTAGCTTTTGGTTTTCAGCTCTGGCTCATTATTCCACTACTTAATGTTTTTTTTTACACTTTGAAAAAAAGACCTTTACAAGTCTAACTTGTTGCTGAATTCTTATATTCTATGCTATTTTATTATCATGTTTCAACACAAAGGAAAATTAAAAAGTTCACAATTGGGCTTGGGGTGAGTGGGGGTGGGGGTAATACAGTAATATCTAAAATACCACAGGATCTAAAAATAGCAACTGTATCAGTTTCAGTACCGTTATACCGTCATGAAAAGAACAATGCACTTATATTGGAGACAAGGATTAAATATTAAATAGAATTTCTTTAATGCCTAAAAATAAGTATGCATGGTTGTCATTACGAGACCGTGTGGAAGAGATAGAGAGAAGTGGGGAAAGATGGTGAGTCGAGCACTTAATGCCCCGTTTACACTGTCAGGTCTTGATGCCCAATTTTGATTTGTTGCCTATATATGATTTTTTTGACTGTCCATTTACACATTGTTTTAATTGTGACCTTCATCCGATTCATGTGTTTATACTTGCCCTATAATTCATGATGTCTGTGTCACACTAGCTACGATGGAAGAAACTCCCTTGCTTTTAGCTCTGCGAAATATGCAAAGTTCACCCAATTTTAAAATGATTTTGAGGCAGAGGAGGAAGGAAAAGGCCATCATTGCAGCTTGTGCCTATGGTTTATATATGGTGTCCTCCACCATTCAGAGGAATGTGTGGGTACGAGAGAGATCTCAGGTCTGGTGGGAGCAAATTGTGGCGACTGACCACTTTCCTCCTCCATGTATCCTCTGTTGTTGTTTACCGCGTCAGCGTCTCCACACACGCTCTTAAATATGGACGAGTTAATTTGCAAATTGTGCAACATTAGGTGAACAAGAGAGATGGAAATCTGCACTGTAATATCGTATACCAAGGTAAAAAAAATTTTGACGGTATTGAAATTTGGATACTGCCCAAGCCTAGTCACAACCAGCGGTTTTTCCATATTACAGGTTAAACATTAAATACTTTTTTAAAAGGTTATACTCGTATCATTTTTGCACTTGTTTCATTTGTTCCACTGTTATACCACTTAATATATCATGTTGATGTCTTCCAGGGAGAGCGTGTTGTATTGGTGCGGCAGGTGGACAAAAACTGGTTTGAGGGAAAGATCCCAGGTACAAACAAACAAGGAATATTTCCAGTGTCGTATGTGGATGTCATTAAGAAGACTTCAGTACAAAATACTGGACAACCGCCTGGGCCTAGTATACCTACCAGCTTCTCCAGTGACAGACTGAACAGTAGGGTACGTTTTCAATTGTATTTTTGCTTAAAGAGGCTTAACGGTCTTAAACATATTTCATATTACAATGTCATGAGGTTTCAATCATGGTGATGAGAGACATGTGAATTCGGGTTACTTATATCCACGGAATATACACTCTGATCCACTTAAGTAAGTGCATAATCTTATCTGGATAAATACTAACTTATACTTTAAATACATGATCCGTGCCGACAAAGGGTGGCGTCAGAGGCAGCAAAACCTTTCATTCAGATCATGTTACTCTTTGCCATAGGTCATGTACAGCGCTGTCAGAGTCAACAAGGTGGCAAGTGCAAAATTAATCCTTTTTCAGATGGCAACTGTCCCAGTCCTAAAATAGATCACCTCTGTCATCTTTAGATTACCTTTGGCTTGTTGTGTAAGATAAGCCTGAGTTCAGATTAAATGCCCTTGAGTTGTAATTCCATCTAAAGAACAAAGAAGTAAAGGCTTATTACTTCGCTCTCGTGAGACCAAGCCAGCAGGATTAGATCAGATTAATCACACGTCCTGCCAGTATCCAGTATAGGCTAATTAGATTGTGGGCATGACCTGCTGCGATATACATGTGCTGCTCAGTTCTTGCTGTTTTACTAAGCAGGAAGTGTCTGGACGGGGTATTTTTGTCAAATATTTGGACACTTCAGCTATACTCAAAAAGATAAACATCATTTTAGTGAATAAATGTCGTTAAACTAATCTCATGCTTTAAAAAAAAAACATGTTTTAAGGTTTTAAATGGCAAATCATACACTGTCAGTTCACAAATTCACATACAGTTGCACACCTAACTCTCATTTGTGCAGTAGATTTTGTCCAAAGCACTGGGCACTACACTCTTAAAAATGAAGGTTCCAAATAAGAGTTTTTAAAGTGATGCCATAAAATAACATTTTTGGATTCATTTTAATTAATAAATAAATACATTTATACTCTAAAACAGGGGTCTCAAACTCACGGCGGGTTGGCCATTTATGGCCTCCCTCATCCTCCATCCAACCCGCAACTGACGTCAAAAATATGAGATTCTGCCCTACAAAACATGGCTGCATCCGAAACAGCCTACTACTCAGTAGGCACTGAATTTGAATTTAAATGTAATACTCGGCTGTTAGAAAAGTACGCTTATACAGTATGAATACGAGCAGTATGAATGAAATTCGGACATCCGCTATTTTGTAATGATCGAGTTGTTCCGTTTTACTCCCATTCATGAATTCTCTTGTAGGGCATCATGGTATAGCGCAGCGTGCATGGGATGCACACTTCAGAATCTTGCCGGATATACTAAGTCATCCGCGTACTTCTCGCATACTGATTTTCGAATTCTATGAATTTGTACATACTACATGGCTCGCATACTAAATTAGATTATTATATAGTATAGAAATATACAGTTTTCGGATGCAGCCCATATGTTTATGAATCACAATCATTGTTGTGTATATAGCCACTTGTTATTTTGACCCCCCCCCCCCCCCCAATCCCATCTATTGGGCATTTAAAGTACTGCACTGTATATATTTGAGTTTTACCTCTGTTTTTTCTCAGGTTGAGAATATTGCACCTGCTTATTATTTCTGTGGCTGATTTAAACGTTGAAATATGTCCCTAGGTGCTCTATTTTTTACTAAAGCTCAATTTTTGTAAATATTTAAGGATCATTTGATTATTATCACTTTGATACCACCTGTGTTGTGTTGAACAAACCCTTTTTCATGGCTTACACGTTATGCTGGTGGTGTAAAAAATATGCAAATTTTGCTAATATTCGATTCAAATGGTCTAATAGATTTACCTCATATGCGTATTGAGATTTGTATGGAAACTATGTACATTTTACTGCTGGTTGAATTGAAAGTAAATGTGAATATATACTTACTTTTCTCCTCTTTGTGGTAGTTTTACAAAAAAGAAAAATACTAAGAAGAACAATTGCCAGTAAAGTCATTAAAGTTACCCAAACTGCTTTCTGCTGTTCTTGTACTGTCTGTTAAACTTTTGGTAAAGCAACAATTGGTTGGGACAGAATAAAAACTATGATTATTATCATTATTATCACTACTTAAATGTCAAAATGCTAATTTAAACAGCCACAGATATATTTCAGCAGTTTTATGAAGCAAAAAACGTGCTGATCTGCATTATCAATGATGAGAGGTAATGCTTAAATTATGAACATCAAGTCTGTTGTCCTAAGATGCATCTCTTATGTCACTTTTTTCTTCTGCTTTAATGTTAAATCGACTATCCTATGTATTGTCAGTCACTGAAATGCCCCCCCCCCCACCAATTTGAGTTTAACACCCCTGCTCTAAAAAGACCCTTTTGTGTAATGTAAAAGTTCTATGGAGGTTTGAGATTTTGCACTGAAACTTGTTTGGTGTTTGAAGGCTTGTATTGTAAAGATTGTGACTCAGTGATTGTGTTGTTGTTTCCACTTTACAAATCAGTACAGACAGTTATTGTGGACTAAAAAATATTAATTGCACATATTGTTCCTTGTAGCTCATGCCTTTAGTCTTAGGTCTGTTTCCCACATATTGCATCTGTGGAGCCTTTTTAATACCTGAAATGACTGCAAAAAGCTTTTACAAAGACAGCATTTCTGCTACGCTGTATTAATCCTTACGAAATGGTATGCAAACCCAAACTTTAGCTATGAAACGTCCTAAATCATCTAGAATCAATCAGATTTACTGAACAGAAAGTGCTGTTTTCGTGCTGTGATTTTCTAGGTGGTATTTTCTCATAAACTACCACATTCATCTATCCTCTTGTCACTTTCATTATCTTTTCTATCAGTTCTCATATTTTCCCAGTGTATCATTACTATCACTTTCTGTTTTTCCCTCTCTCCTTCTTTCCCTTAAGCCGTCATCTACACGTAACCTCCACAACTCTCCATCCCCAACTATCCGTCCACTCTCCTCATCTTCTCCCAGTCCACAGAGAGCTGCACACCTTCAAGCCATCACCAGCGAGTGGTTGGCTCTCACTCTGGGTCTGTCCCCTTCAGGAACCCCTGCCCCCACACCTCCTCCCTTCCCTTCCAATTTCCAGCCATACTATGAAGCGTTTGACTCTGGCATCTCGCCATCTCCCGCCTCCTCCACACTGGGCCGCTCTCCAACACTCACTCCCCGCGTCTCCACACCTGCACTCAAAGAGGGCCACTTCATTCCCATCTCCTCCCCAAAGTCCTACATGTCCCCTGATCCCAGCCCGTCACCTCAACCCTACCTCACCTCCGCCTCCTTCACTCCTTCGCCCACTTCACCCACATTTGACTCCAGGTCTGGCAGTGTCATAGAAATTCTGTCCAGTCACAAAGCAGATTTGCCTGTGAAGGAACTGCAGTTGTTCTCAGATCCCAAAGACAGATACAAGCCAGGCGAGACAGACTCCCCTAAATTGGGCAGCCCTATTGACTTAGTTGTTTTTGAAGGTCAAAAATCTCCATTGGATATTCTGCCACCAAAAGACCTAGAGGATGATCTGTGTGAGGAGCTAGTGTCGATTATAAAGGCCAGCCAATCAAAGGGTGCATTCTTAGAAGAGGAGGATTTGTATCACCAAGAACCAGATACTGTGGAAAAGCTACCCAGACTCTTCATTGAGGAGGAGCAGAATGAAGACAACAGCTTCTTAAATAAAACCCTGCCATCAAATACATTCACTCCACTCCAACTTGCCCATAGTGAGGGTTCAGATATTGAGGTAGAGCTTGCTGTTTGGTAATGCCCCTAAACTGAAAAGTGAAAGTAAATTTCCTTACAGGAGAAGTGTGTCACTTTTGTCTTTTTTTGTTTTAAACCCCATGAGTTAAAGGGTTAGTTCACTCAAAAATGAAATGCGTTATTACCCTCATGTTTTTCCAATTCTCTATGACCTTCATTTATCTTCAGAACACAAATTAAGATATTTTAGATGAAAACCAAGAGCTCTCTCCTCCTCTATATGCAAAAATGGTCCATAGATGTCTAAAATCCAGAAGATACAGTAACAAAACCTTTCAAAAGGTAAACCTTTGTACTTTACAGCTGCACATTAGTACCTAAAAGGTAAACTTTTGTACTTTTAAAGGCTGATTTATACTTCTGCGTCAAGCACACGCGTATGCTACGGCGCAGCCTACGTGTTGACGCTTAGTCCTACGCCGTAATTGTCGTGGCTGTGCACCTCTCAAAAATTGTAACTACACGTCACAGCGAAGCATAGCGCAAGCTCAGTGATTGGTCAGCTTGGTAGAGCTGACGAGTCTGGGCGGCACCAAGAGCTGCGTGAGCCCGATAGAGCGGTTGGAGTCCCGTGAAGGAGCTCCGAATGGAAAGTTTTGTTCTGTGTTTACCTCATGATTAAAGTTGTTGCACGTTCGCCTGTTCCTGCCTCAAAATGAGCGAGTTTGAGCCACTTGTACATTCAGGAAGCGTTCAGTAAAAACAAAACAGAAGCGAAGAAACTTGACACAGAGGAACATTTACACCTCACTACCCACTAGCATTTTGGAAGTGTTAATGCAGACCAACAGAGATAGCGAGCAGAAGTATAAATGCGCAGCTACGCGCGTTGCATGCGCTGTGCGTTACGCCGATCACTTGACGCAGAAGTATAACCAGGCTTAAGACAGTGGTTCCAAAGTGAGGTTTGAGACCCCTCGGGGGGTCGATGAATAATGAGCGGTGATCACTTGGTGATATCCAAAAATCTAATTAATTGGCTGAAAAGTTTGGGAACCTCTGCTTTAAGGTACTATAAGATAAAGACTTGTATTTTTTTTAAATACAAAAAAAAAAAGTTGTTTTTATAAATTTAATTGCACATAAAATGTTCCTGGAACTTTGAATGATTACAGTTCTGGAATGATTTGAAAGTGTTTTTGATTTTTCTGGAATTTAAATATCTCAGGACTGTTGTTGTCCATGGAGGAGAGGGATCTTGGATTTATTCTAAAACATTGTGTGTTCTGAAAATGAATAAAGGTCTCAGGGTATTAGAACGACATTAGGGTGAGTTTTGAACAGAATTTCCTTTTTTGGATGAACCAACCCTTTAATGGGACTGTTTACACACAAAAAAATCCTCAGGCCTTCCAAGATGTAGGTGACTTTTTAAGACCAGATTTTATGTGCAGTTAATTTTATAAAAATAACTTTTTTTTTTACCTATGCCTTCCAAGTCTGGTTAGGGTGCTATGCATACACTGTTATTTGACAAGACACTTATTATTCAAGTAAAAAAGTATTCATTTTGTTTTGCCCACATATGCTTTTTTGACTAAAAGTGGCAGTAGCCATTATATCGTATTTTATGAATCACCATGACCACTGGCCCAGCTAAAAATAATCTTTATCATCTAAAGAAAACAACAACAACAACAACATATTGAATGGCCTGAGAATGAGTAAATTGAAGCAAAATCTCAATTTTTCAGTTCAATTTGGGTGAACTGTTCCTTTAAAATAAATGTTTTGTGCAAACGCTAACACGGAATGCTTATTATTGTTTCCAGTGGCCATTAAGTTTGCATTTTTGTTTGTTAAACTGCACCAAAAAAATAAAATAATCACACACTTCGCCTGTAGATCCTGAAGCATCTGTAGAGCATGATGAACGTGCCTTTAGCATGTATAACTGTTTTCATCTCCACATCAGCAGGGTGAAGTTTCCCAGAATGCCTCTCCTCGTCTCTCCTCTCTGTCCTCACAGATGTCATTGCCATTCACATCTGCTAAATACTCCCCCACTTCCCCATGCTCCACCCCACCATTGCCTGGGGTTTCACAGTCACCCCCTCACTTGGCAAAACTGTTCCCTCGGCAGGACCTCCGCTCCCCAAAGGTCAAGGTAAAGACAAGGTGCTTGTTAGTGACTGTACTAGTGCTCACCATCCTCCCCTTCCCCTTAATCCTACCACTCCATAATACATACACTAACATTCTCTATTAAAGCGACCTATATAACGTAAATACATTATTGTTACGGCATGCATTTCCATGAAAGATTTATTGCACCATAGTGTGCTTGCTACATACATGAAAAACTGTAGTTCACACTGTATGTCTGACTTACGGTAAATTATTACTATTATATATGGGGAGGTAGAATCATTAATTATTAGTAAGTCATAGACATATTTAAATCACCCCTAAACACTACTCACAATCCCAGGATACTTTAAATTAGCTTTGTAGGCTTTTGCTTGTTAGCTCTGTCCACTGGCATGGAAAAAAACAACTCTCATAACAGATGATTGGACAACTTGGTAAATACATTAAGACTTAAAAGAAGCTAATAATTTGCTCCAATCAAGGAATATTCACTTACTCATGTTAAATATCCCCCCTCCCCCCCAATGTATACACTACCTCAGAAGTACTCAAAAGATGTGGTTGGTATTATTTAAATAATGTTGTAAAAAGACGTCTCTTATGATCCCGATAGCTGCATGTATTTTGAAGTAAAAACTGTAATATTGTTAGATGTGTAAAATATGCAGATAGCTTATTAGAAGATTTTTCTAAATGTTATGTACTCCAGTAATGGCAAAGCTGAATTTCCAGCAACCGTTACTGCATGATTTTTTGTGTCAAATAAGGATTTAGAAAATATTCTAATATGCTAATTTGATGCTTAAAAGCACGTATAAATGCAAACTCCAACTACATTCTGTCCTCTCTTCACCCTGTGAGTACTTAATAATGTTTTGTATACACACACACACACACACACACACACTGAGCAGAGAGTTGGTGACAAATGCATTCATATTCATCCCTGAAAATGCAAACACATTTTTTTTGTGTGTGTTTGTGTTCATACACAAACACAAGGCTTGTGTTCATAGTTAAAGTCAGAATTATTAGAATAATTTATTTGAATTTGTTTTCTTTTTTTAAATATTTTTCAAATGATGTTTAACAGAGCAAGGAAATTTTCAGAGTTTGTCTGGTAATATGTTTTCTTCTGGAGAAAGTTTTATTTGTTTTACTTCAGCTGGAATAAAAGCAGTTTTAATTTTTAAACACCATTTTAAGGTCAAGATTATTAGACCTTTTAAGCTATATTTTTTAAATAGTCTACAGAACAAACCATCATTATACAATAACTTGCCTAATTACCCTAACCTGCCTAGTTGCCCTAATTAACCTAGTTAAGCCTTTAAATGTCACTTTAAGCTGTATAGAAGTGTCTTGAAAAATATCTCGTCAAATATTATTTACTGTCATCATGGCAAAGATAAAATAAATCAGTTATTAGAAATGAGTTAATAAAACTATTATGTTTAGAAATGTGTTGAATAAAATCTTCTCTTAAACAGAAACTAGGAAAAAATAAACAATGGGCTAATAATTCAGGGGGGCTAATAATTCTGACTTTAACTGTATATAATAATAATAATAATAATAATAATTCTACAAAATATGTATGACTAGTCGTTAATGACATGTATGTAAATGTGTATATGCATGATGCAATATACACAATTACAGGTAACAAGGTATCTTTAAGTAAGACTAAAATGTCACAAGCCACATCTGCTGCCTTTAAAAACTCAATTCAGTGTTGCTATGAGCCAGCTTCAAAAACATAAAAAAAAACAAGTGGACTTAGATGCCACACATTTCAAGCATAAGTTAAAGGTGCTGTATTGAAGTTATTGACTTTTATAAAGCATAAAAATGCTATATGTTTGCAGATATTTAGGAAACATGCTAAGTGAACATTCTTGTTCATCTGAAAAACAATGCTGAAGTCAGATATTCTGCTTTAAAAATGTCTGTTATGCGCCAGAACGGCTGTCTTTGTTTTGGTTCTTTTAACCCGCCGAATGCTACTTTAGCTAATTATATTTCAGCACCCCGGGTTGCCTTGCTGGAAAACTGCATATTTAATTCATTCATTCAGAAGGCTCTTAAAGCATAGGTCTGTTACAGAAATAAATTTCAATAAAATTAATTAGCAAAAAATATAAATATTATGAGCATAAATGTTAGGTGAGCAGAATACATTGTAATCCTGTGTCCTAATAGCATGCTGTGTGACAAAAGACGTAGTGATAAGTAATTTGACTGCACCAGAGGAAACACAACAGCTGTATTCAGTTGCTTTTATATAGAACATGATTTAAATCGGCCTTTAGGCTCTATAGTCAGAATCGCTCCTTTTGGTTCTCAATCTGGCAACCTGCGCTTGCGTTTGTTTTGATCCAGGAATGCAATACCTAGTTCAACCACTGGGTGTCAAACTTACATGCTGCACCTTTAAACATGACGTGACAATCATGGCGATCACTGTATTGTTAATTTGGTCAAAAAAGAGCAGATACATGGGTAACATTGTTTCAGTTATCACAATTCAAGAGTGAGTCCATACACACCCACAAAATAATTTAAAATATGATCATTTTCATGTAATTTAGGGGATTATGGGAAAAAAATACTGTTTTGCTTAATGTTTTTTGCAGCACAGAGAAAGTCTTTACTGTTCATTTTAATCGATTTTATGCATTGTTGCTAATTAAAATCTGTCTGACCCCAAACTTCTAAACAACAGTGTGTATTTTTGCAAATTGTTTTTTTTAATGACTACTCATGTCAGCTTCTCCTGGTTCTTTCAGCCTGTGTTAAGGCGTGATGTTGTGGTTGTTGGTAAACCCCCTCGTAGCCCTGTGATGTCTAGGAGGTCCTGCGGATCACCTGTTAGAGGTCAAAACTTTTCGCCATCTAATAGGGTAGGGAGTATGTGCAACCTGTGTGGCAATGGCACATCTGACCAAAGGGAAACTCAGTTTTCTCTCCTTTTTCAATGCATAATGACATTGATTGATTTAATTTGCTGCTGTACCTAAATGTAATGATGTTCGGAATGATACAGTAATCTTTTTTTTTTTTCTCAGTGTATGGTCACATGATGCGCAGTATCATTCTATCAATACAATGTTAATTCATGAACGAGGGATACTCTTAAAGGGATAGTTTACCCAAAAATAAAACTTTTGTCATTATTTATGCACCCATCCCTTTTCAACAAACTTTCTTTCGTATACTGAACACAAATTTTGAAAAAAAGTGCAGACCGTTATAGTCATTGACTATATTTGTTTGTTTCTATGGTGTCAATGGTTCTGGTTTACAACATTTTTCAAAATAGCTTATTTTGTGTTCAACAGAAGAAAAAAAGCTCAAACAGGTTTGGCACCACTTGACTGTGAAAAAATAAGCAGTAAAAGATTTATTTTTGGGTGAACTATGACTTTAACACCAAGGTCTTGTCTATCTGAGCGTTTGTGCATTAAGTGGTGAAGAAATTAACATTTAATTCTTAATATGTCTGTAGATTGATAACATTTTGCATGCTGAAAGTGGTTTTTCTGCATGTCTACGGTGTGTTTTGTGGCTCAAGATTGGCGTGTTTTTAGCAATGCATTGAGAGTGTTTGGGTTGTCTGGATTTTTTTCCTGGGAATGTCCCAATGATCTGTCCTGTGTACGCAGCTTAAACAAGGTGTACTCCCCAGGGCCAGGCAAGCGGCCTTTTCCCCACATTTTCTTCCGAGCAAGGGGAGTACAGTCCTCGGTTTCAGTACTTAAGGCATTTTTTAACTCTTTCTAAGTCCAGAGATCAAACATATTTCAGAAAATATGTTGTTTGATGGCTTAGAAAGCAAGATTTTGAGCCCCCGGTAGTCCTGGATCTCACGCGTGTTTGAATAAAGTGCAGTTCCTTTTTGTTTTAATCTGTGTTTAATCTACGTTTAGACAGGTTTGGTCATTAACATAGTTCAGATACACACAGCTGATCCAGGTCTGGCCTCAGGCTTCGCATTAATGAGCACAGTGGAAGTCTGGCTGTTCTCACTATCAGATACAGCAGAACGAGAGACGGAAACATTTAAATGTCCTTTCCTCTTTTCTCTTTTTCAGTCCCAAAGACAAGCATATGCTTGTGATCCACTTCAAGGTGGAGGGGAACCGTGAGTATCTCAAGTCTTCTTCTACAGTAGTCAACATTTAAAGTGGGTCAAAACTTTTTAACATGATTCTCCTAAAATGCTCCAAAAAAAAACTATTCTCATATTAAGAACATTTTTTTTTTAAACGTTTTGATCAACTTCAAATGTTGACTACTGTATATGCACATTAACAACCTATAAAGTTCATGTAGAAAATTTGGTCAGCTTTAAAAGCCCCAATTCTATCGCTTCATCTTGCAGATTTCAAGCACTGTATAACTACATGCCACGGAATGAAGATGAGCTGGAGCTGAAGGAAGGTGATGTTGTTGATGTCATGGAAAAGTGTGATGATGGATGGTTTGTGGGTAAGTCTGTGAATTCTATTTTCATCCCGTTGCTTGCTAGTATTAAAGGAGCATTTCAGTGATGTTCTTTAATTTGCCACTAAGTGGCGCTGCTGTTCAACTAAAAATGATCTTTAAAACTGGTTTTAAGGTTCAAGGGGCAAATTTTCAAGGGCCAATGACAAAAGTATGGAATAATTACATTAGATTTTTCCGTTAATGAGTATTAAAAAAACAAAAAACGCATTTATTCAATAAAAAAGCTTTTAAAGTAGTTTAAAATATTATTACAGTTTACAATACTTGTTTGGTTTAATATATTTGACAATGTAATTTAATCCAGTGATTTTCAGGGACCATTACTCAAATATTCAGTCACACTCATGGCCACTTTATTAGGTACACCTTACTAGTACCGGGTTGGACCCCCTTTTGCCTTCAGAAATGACTTAATCCTTCGTGGTATAGATTCAACAAGGTTATGGAAAATTACTTAGAGATTTTGGTCCGTATTGACATGATAGCATCTCAGCTGCTGCAGTCGGCTGCACATTCATGATGCAAATTACCCGTTTCACCACATCACAAGGTGCTCTATTGGATTGAGGTCTGGTGACTGTGGAGGCCATTTGAGTACAGCAAACTCATTGTCATGTTCAAGAAACAAGTCTGAAATATTTTTACATTTTATGACATGGCACATTATCCAGTCTGGCCATTCTCCACTGATCTCTGGCATCAACAAGGCATTTGCATCCTCAGAACTGCCACTCACTGAATATTTTTTCTTTTCGGATCATTCTCTGTGAACCATAGAGATGGTTGTGCGTGTAAATCCCTGTAGATCAGCTGTTTCTGAAATACTCAGACCAGCCCTTCTAACACCATGCCATGTTCAAAGTCACTTAAATCCCTTTTCTTCCCCATTCTGATGCTCGGTTTGAACAGCAGATCGTCTTGACCATGTCTATATGCCTAAATGCATTGAGTTGCTGCCATGTGATTGGCTAATTACAGATTTGTGTTAACGAGCAGTTGTACAGGTGTACCTAAAAATAAAAAAGTGGCGGGTGAGTGTAGATTAGTCATATAATTCTTTATTTAATTGCCTTTGTATTTTACTGATTGATACTTTCAATTTTAATAGTGATTATTTCAAAACTGAAAATAGAAAATTACCTTGAACAAAAACTGAACATTTTATTTTAATGTTTGTTCATATTTTTCTATGATTGTTTTAATATCAGACTTTTAATCATTTCTTTTTTATTGATTTAACCTAAGATCTCTATATGATTAGAAATCAAAAACAAAAGTTACTGTTTTATAGATGTTTATTCTGTGGTTGAATTAAAAATGACATATACATTTCAGCAAGTTTAATCTGTATCTTTCCTCATACCTTCTGATGTTCATTTATGTTTATATATATATATATATATATATATATATATATATATATATATATATATATATATATATATATATATATATATATATTGCTATATTATGTAGTTTAAAGCAGTTAGTCATGCATGATTCATCTGATGTGGCTACAGTAATCCATTTCTCCATATTAAATGCATTTTGAAAGTATAGCACAGCTTTTCCAATTTTATATTTTAGGAACGTCAAGGAGAACCAAGTTTTTTGGAACCTTTCCTGGGAACTATGTGAAGAGGCTATAAATGGACTTAAAACGCACGTCTCTGATGGTCATATACATCTACTGAAGAGAGATGGACAGTTTCGCCTTCAGCAGGACAAGCTCCGGTCATCTTGCTGGACTGATGGAAACTGAAGCCAAACGGCGTCGGAGGGGTTATTGCACCTTGTATCTAATTTGGTTCATAAATATTTTCATAATTAAATCCTAAAACCACTACGCTTATTAGGAATTTCGGTAAATGCTTTAAAACATTTGGTTGCCTACATTTTTTTTTCTCATAGTTGAAAAATCAGCTTGCCTTCTAGTTAGGCAGAAGGATTTCAACATGAGTAATTAAGTGCCCTGTTTATATGTTATTTATTGAGAGGCACGCTTTTTTTGTCTTTGGAAGGGTGATTATACAGTAGGTGATGAAGGATCTACTGGTGCCCCTCTGTACACTGATCTGATTTAGATCATATAGATTGAGCAGTATTGCAGTGTCATGTTTGTGTCAGGGAGTGGATATTACAGAAGACCATTCCTGCATGCCAACATGTATCTTTTCAGTATGTAAACCGGTTTCAGGTTGAGAAGAATGACCTCCGGTTTTCTAGGGCTCTATTTTATTTTTCCTCCAGACATTCCTTTGAGCATTTAAAGGATTTTACAGATAAGAGAAAAATATTTTTTATATTTTTCAATCTAAAAAGATATTGTTTTTTTTGTTGAGAATGCAGTATATCCCTGACAAGAGGCTAAAGTGTGCATGCTAACACTAGTAAACTGACTATTAATACTGCCTATATTAAATACTTATGTTTTGGGTGACCTTGCACATCGCTTTTTTGGTTTACACACTGTAACCTATTTATGGCCAATAAGAGGAGCACATGATGCTGAATTATTACTGAACTGCAATTGGCAGCCATGTATTTTGTATATCTCGCCTTCCTGATTCTTCAAATTGGTTCAATTTGAGTGAGGAAATGTACGTTTAAAACTATTTTGTTTATTTGAACATTCAACGTTCTTTTTTTTTTCATTATGACATACTTAATATATTGTAAATTGTTCACTTTCTATGTCTTTAATCTGTTCGGCCCAGTGATTACACTTTCATATTCAATTTAAGATATGCAGCCTTTCAATCTTCCTGTGAGACTGTATGACTAACAGTTTTATTCCTGTCGGTAAAGCAAGAAATGTAAATGTGTCACTCAATAGAAACAGGAACCAGTAATATATGTAATCTAGGCAATATAATACCTCATGGAGGGAATTATGCAGTCTCTGTGTTGTCAATGTGCTTAATGTACTGTACCAGTAACATCCTGCGCATGTTGTTTCATATAAAAAACTGCTGATCTCTGCAAACTTATTATTGTACCAGTGTGAGAATTGTTTTAATGCCATGCTGCTCTGGTTTAATATATGTGAATGGTGGTACAGAGCAATATTTGTCACCGCCGTCTGATCTGTAGCTACATAGGGACTAGCAGAGATCTTCATTGTGCTTTAGTTAAGAACTGGCACTCAGTCTTCCATTCTGATTGAGCTGAAATTATTGTTCCTGGTGCAGAACTTTACCACATGTGGATATTTGTCACATTTACAAATGCACGATTCAGTTTTTAAATGTTTATAAAGTACAAAACACTGTGATATGTTTGGTCAATTAAACCTAGTATGATTCTGACACAACATTTTGGTGCTAGTGTGGGTGATGGATTCTTATTGGATGAGAATTGACTATTGCTTTAGTATCATTGGTTAAGAACAGACAAGCTGGTGCATAACTGATTACAGCGCTCAGCAAATCTCTTTTAAATTCATATTTTTAATAGGAAGTTTTACAATATTATATTTGTACATAAACATTAGATTAGTCAGTACTGAAGCCAAATCTGGAGCTAATCTAGCAAAATAACTTACGATAATGGTCCAAAAACTAGTACAAAACGAATTTATATGTTATAGAAAAATAGTAAATACAAATTTAAAAAAGAGAAAAAACTGAGAAGCAATTTTTTTTTTTTAATGTAATTGATTTTTTTTAGGTTTTTAGGATTTTTTTGCAATAATTTGCCTGAATTTAATTGTATTTATTGCATCTTTCAATTTCTTAATATGTTTGGTGACTAAAATATTATTTTAATAAACATGTTTAATAAATCTGTTATGTTTAAATGCATCAAAACACTGCTTATATTCACTGAGAAAGAGATACAAATATTCATTTTCAAAATGAGGTGTGCAATTATGCTGAGCACTGTAAATAAAAATAGGAGAGGTTATAGCAACATGTCAACCTATTCATTAATAAATATTTAATTAGACTCCAAAAAAATTAAACAATTAACAATTTAGTCTTTCTTCTGCTGTTTGTTTCTTTGTGGAATAGTGCATAAATAAAGTCATATATTTTCATCCAGGACTATCGTTTGCATCTGAATGTATTTTCAGTTAGATTCCTAACTACAGTATAGTAGTATATAGCCTCAAACTGTTTAGCAAAATATGAATCTCGCAGTCGGCGACACAGTGGTGCAGTAGGTAGTGCTGTCGCCTCAAAGCAAGAATGTTGCTGGGTCAGCTGGCATTTCTGTGTGGAGTTCTCCCTGCGTTTGCGTGGGTTTCCTCTGAGTGCTCCGGTTTCCCCCACAGTCCAAAGATATATGGTACAGGTGAATTGGGTAGGCTAAATTGTCTAGTGGATGAATGTGAATGGGAGTGTGTTGATGTTTCCCAGGGATGGGTTGTGGCTGGATGGGCATCCGCTGCGTAAAAACGTGCTGGATAAGTTGTCGGTTCATTCTACTGTGGCGACCCCAGATTAATAAAGAGACTAAGCCGAAAAGAAAATGAATTAATAAATCTCACAGTGCTCTCGTGCATTACTCAGCACTGACCAATCAGGTTAAAGTAGGCAGGGTTTATTACGGTTTACAGCCGCAAAGCATGCATTCTAATGTGAAGCTTCAGTTTATTTTTGAAAGATAGTGAGAAAAGTTTGAAGTATTCAACTGTTTAAATCACAGAACTGTTCAATTATATTCAGAATTTAGAATCTATAATGTACAGGAAGTGCAAATGATTTTTTCCCATCAGATTTCACAGTTTTATTTTTATTATATTATTCATACATATGCTAAGCAAATTTTAAACATTTTAACACCTTGGCCAAATATAAAAAGATTGAATGTGTGCAATATTAAAATATTATACACCCCTGCTTCCCTGCATGCTGTCTTACTGGGTTTTATTATGGGGGATTTCATTTAAATATGTGATAAAGATAATACTTTAATTCTTTGTTCATAAAAATAAACCACACAAACTCGCAGCCAAAACTTACTTATTTGATGTTTAGATTTAAAATTATGTTAGGTTTTTCAGTTCTTGTACTGTATGTGTAACTGTCAACAAAACTGTCACCTGTGCAAATCAAACTTGCTTAAGGTGGGATAAACTAACCTAACCTAATATTAAACTGACTATTAATACTGCCTAAATACTTGTGTTTTGGGTGACCTTGCACATCATTTTTGATTCACACACGGTAATCTGACAAATAAGAGGAGCACAAGATAAATATTATTTGCAAATACAACCCTGGTTCCCTTGAGGTTTTACAATAGGAGATTTCAATTAAAAATCTGTGTTAAACATAATACTTTAATTCTTTGCTCCTAAAAAACAAAAACAAAAAAACAACAGACTTGCAGCAAAAACGTAGCAACTTATCAGACACATTTGTTGTATAAAATATCCATGTATCCATATCGTATTTTTGATATGGGTGTATAATTTATGTTCTAGAGCAAAACCTTACAAGTTATGTTAACTACTAATAAAAACATCTACAACATTGTAAAACCCATAGGAAATGTACTTCTGGGATCTTACATCCCTCCTGCACCACTCTTGCCTTTCACTGAGAAATATTTGCCTTTAATATTGATATGATGGACATCAGTATTCCATGATCTATTAATAAAGTGGTTACCCCACTCTGACACCATTTGGGTGACATGGGTTGGCTTTATTCATCTATGTTTATTTCTATAATGCTTTTACAATTGTGGTGGAATGGGAGATTCTCATCATGGATGTGCAGCTGATAAATCTGCAGCAACTGCATGATGCTATCAAGTCAATATGGAGCAAAATCTCTGAGGAATATTTCTAGTACCCTGTTGAATAAATGCCACAAAGGTTTAAGGCAGTTTTATAGGCAAAAATGGGCCCAAAGTGGTACTAGTAAGGTGTACCTAATAAAGTGGCCAGTGAAAATACACTCCAATGTAATAATAAATGCATTTAAACCTTTGCTATGACTTTGATAATCTGGTTACTTATGTTTTTATGTTTTGGCTTGCAGCAGATTTGCATGGCCAGTACTTTTGTAGCCAAAAGTAAAAAAATATATTTATGTTCCTAGACCAGAATTATATCTAACATTTGATTGGCAATACTGTTTGATGATTCAAGACATGGTTAAGGCTTTGAATTCAGTTATAGTAATCGTGCCATCCTGAACGTCATCTTTCTGCAAGCAATCCAGTCCCTGCAGACCGTCCAGTCTATAAACAGCCACATCGTGTCCTGGAGTTGTCCCTCCTGCTACCATGGGAACACAGTAAACAGAGGGTCAGTGGAGAGCCGCTTTAAGTTTCTGTCCCAGAGAAACAATCAGAGCCATCCAGCTCACTTGCAGGAGGCTGGGATTTTGTCTAGACTCTGCTTTCCCCCCAGTTGTTTTTAATGGAGCATATTCTCACGTGCTCTCTTAAACAAACTGATAAATATATCTGGGAATACAGCTCAAACCCTAGTTAAAGAGATAGGTCAATCAAAAAATGAAAATGTACTCACCCCCAAGAGCTTAAAAAAATGTTTTGTTGAACACGACGAGAAATTTGGAAGAATTCTGGAAATTATAATCCATTGACTTTTATACTAGGAAAAAAGTACTATGGAAGCAAATGGTTACAGGATTGCAACATTCTTCTAAATATCTTCTTTTATGTTCCTTCAACAGAAAGAAACTCAAACTGGTTTGGAACAACTAAAGTTTAAGTTTGAGTAAACGATGACAGAATTTTCATTTTTGGGCAAACTGCCCCTTTTAAGACTTACAATATGATAATCCATTTCTCACACCAAGCACCTTCATTTTTGAAAGAGCATATGGCTGAGTAAATGACCGAATTTACTAGTGGGCTACATAATGTGACAGCTTGGGATAGAGAAGGATTTTCTGGTTTTAAGGTTTGCTAGGGTTGATGCATCTCAGGCTGTGACAAACCGCTCTTCCCTGGCACCACCAAACAAGGAGCTGTTCAAGCCAACAATACAAGTGCTCTCAAGCTAGAATGTTTGGCCTTCAAATAAAGAGCACACTCCAGTGCCATGTACAACACAAAACGAGCCATGCTGTGTGGTTACCGAGACTCTACTTTAGAAAAAAGCCTCATGTGCATCTTACTAGCTCTTTCCATTGACTGTATTTTACGTATTCGCGGGATGGCAGCCAGGGAATCATTTTGACCAGACGTAATCAAACACTGAAACTGTTTTGAACGTCCACTGACATCTGAAAGCTGTTGTGATCAGATGTTCAAACATTGTACCTGTTTTAAATCTTCATAATGTTAAATCTGGGTTATGGCTTCATAACATTCTCTGTAGGTCACTCTGAGCTTTAAACTGGAGAGCTTATTAAAATAAGAAGAAATGACAGTGTTCAGCAATGATTTAATACAGCTAAAATAGTTATGAGTGAAAGACATGGTAAAGTTATAAATGGCCACATCTGCTTTTATGTGTATGGATGATGGATAAAAAGTGTTTTGTTTCATACAGATCCCAGCCAAAGCATGTTAAACAAAAGATTAGAAAAAAAAAATCGTGCAAACATGACACTGAAAATGACCTTATTACAAAGTTTAAAGGGTCATTCAGTCAAAAAATGTTTAATAAAAATGACAAAAACACATACATGAGACATGCATGACAATTGCAGGTACATCACTCGCTCATTTTTTAGAGCCCCTATTTTTCATTATAAAAGGTCATATTTTGGTTTTGGGGGTCTCCAACAACAGGTTGATATGCATGAAAGGTCAAAAAACACTTGTTTAAGTCATTTTCTTATAATATGCATTAATTTTTACCATTATCCCAACGACTCCCATATGATTTGTTTGGTCTTAAACCCATAATGTGTAGGGATTGTTCCAATAAACCATTCTGTTGTGATTGGTCAACTGGTTTCAGTGTGAGACAGAGAGAAACGTGTGTGAAGTAGCACACACTGTAACAGTTATTGACAAAGTCCCTGTCAAAGTCTGACAAAGTCCCACACATATTAGTCTCTGCTGCTCTTTCCTTTAATAGCAAATGGCCGATGAATCTCGTGTTGCAGCGTAGTTTATTATATCAAAAATCTGAAAAATGACAGGAACAAACTCAGCACTAGGTTGGCTATACTGTGGTATTTTTGTGAAATAAACGTTTTATTCCCTGCAGCTGAATCTACATCTCTCAATGATCATCATCTTCATGTCATGATCAATCCCATGATCCCCTGTGCTCTGCTAGTGTCTAAAGGGAAAGCCGCCTTCACGTTTTACCGGAACCGGCACTTCATATTTGGTGATGTATTGTATCGACAATGCGTTCAAGCAAATGATCCGAACCCAACATAATTCCTTTATTCAACTCTGAGTGGACTATTTTGTTAGAGAATCAATAGTTTAAAACACAGTGCATTTCAGATTTAAACTTCAGCTGGATGTTTTCATTCATCTAGAGATGTGTTACACACTGCATGGAAACTCATTTTTAAAAACCCATAATAGGGGCACTTTAAAATTTGAAATAAAGCAGAAAAGCATCTCAGAAAGTATTTTATAAAGCTGACAGTGCTTTAATTCAGTGCACATGAGGCATAAGGAACTGCACTTTATCCTGTATTTTACATGGAAAAAAACAAAAAAAAAACATTGTTCTGAGCCACAATTATTTATTAAATCTTTAAAGTAAAGCTGACAGAAATAAAAACGGCTGAATGGAGCATACACTCAAATGTACAGTATTATTCAGTCATTAGATGGCACCAAACAGTCAAAAACAGCGTCTTGACAACGTATTCCTGTGTTATTCAGCGGTTGTTATCTCAGAATAACATATCTTGGAATGTTGTGACTGACTCAATTCCAGACAGCTGTGTAATTATAGCCTATAAAACCAACAACGTGAACAAGCCTGTTCATTACACACTTACTGTATAACTTAATAAAGTTCTCTGCCAGTCACACAAACATCCACATAACATTTGCTGCCGGTCACTCAGAGCTCATATCCATTTTGTTTGTATATATAGTCAGATATAAGAAGATGCCCTTCCAGCCGTAACCCAGTACTGGGACTCTCATACACTAGACAATTTTGTTTACCAAACTGACTTATTCTGCAAGTCTTCGAACTGTGGGGGAAACCTGAGCACCTGGAGGAAACCCACACAAAGACGGGGAGAACATGCAGACTCCACACAGAAATGCCAACTGGCCCAGCCGGGACTTGAACCAGGGCCTGGGCCACTATAATATTATTATAGATGCAAAAACGATTCAAACTAAACTCACCTACAGTTGAAGAATGGATTAATACAGTGCACACTATTTGTGTTATGAAAAAATGTCATTTTCATTAAAAACACAGACTGAATAGTTTTTTGGAGTAAATGGATTGAATATATTTCACCAATTTGCCCCTATTTTTTTAATTTACATATATTTTCTTCTTCAAAGGAAATGTAAAGGATTTGTAGCTCCCTGTGTTTTATTGTTTATAGTTGTTGTTGTTAAAGGGAAAAAAATACAAAGCATACGCAAAATCTGTAGGTCTCTTTCTGTATAAGAATATGTAAATTATAAATGCTTTTTTCTTTTGGAAACTCAAGAAAAAAAAAAAGGATATTGACACAGTTTATCTGGGATTAAATTTGTTTTACATTTTTTTTGATAAAACAAAAATGTTTGATGGGTTAGTAATGACAGAAATATCATTTTTGTTAAACTATCCCCATATTTTAATGATAACACTGTAGCTCTCCATGTCATCTAGACACTATTAATTAGATGAATTCATTATTTTCTTCATGTTAGCAGCTTAAGAATTATGACTAGTACTGAAATCCACAGTTCTTTTTGTTTCCCTTATGCGGCTGTGCTACTAGAACTGTTTACATTCCAGAAAGGAGATGTTTAAAAGAGCAACACATGCCGTGTTGATATGACAATTTGACATGATAAGCGTTTGTTATTGTGCTCTGTGAACAGTTCCCAATCTGCTGATCAGAAGTGAAGACTCTGACTCAATTCTCCTTAATTTCATGACAGAGTTCTCCTTTCAGCCAAGCACAGGTGTCTGGCCAGGGGTTAGGAAAAGAAACGTCTAGACAGCAGACGGGGTGATGACAGAGTGAAGGGAGATTTCAGTTTTTGAGGATTAATCATAAAGGGTGCAAAGTTTGGATCTGAAGGGGGTGGGGAGAGAGATTGAACCCTGAGTTTCTCAGTCTACCCTATGACCTCATGAGAGGAGTGGCATCCCGGCATCATCTTTCTTTCATTCACTCTCCTAACCCCATGCGCATGCTTAAAAGGGATTCAGAGACAGGCACTGGCTTCCAATCTCTGTTGGGTGAGCCTTTCGTCCAGAGCAGGAGCTGATTATTCTGTTCTCTCTGGCCGACAAGAGGAAACTCCAAGCTCTTTTCGAGAAATAAGATAAAAGAAACTAGACAGAAATGCCACAGAACGTGGTGCTGGATGGACCGGCCCCTTGGGGATTTCGGCTTTCAGGAGGCAAAGATTTCAACCAGCCGCTGACCATAACTCGGGTAAGTGAAAGCCTTTGGCTGCTGAGTTTGTGCCGCTCCACACATTCCACTCAGAGATAATGATGCTTTTGATGTGCTGGGCAACACTGCCGTGGGCATGAGAAACCAGTGGGTGGATCATAAAAAAAACATTCCCAGGACCTCACTTTAGGATACAGTGAGAAAAAGTATTTTTAGAGACACAAGTTCAAACTGGCATTCATTTTTGGAAACATCTGTGGTTGTATGGGGAATCATTTCCCAATAGAGACTTTCAATGTTTGGTAAATTACACTTTTTATTTATGTCTTTATGTTGTGTGGTTTTACGGAAAAAAAATGCATGGGATACATTACCGGTCAAATTTAGGGTCCGCTTTTTATGTTTTTAAAAAAAAAATATTATGTTCATCAAGGCGCCATTTATTAAATGTAAAAAAAAAAAAAGTTGTTAAATACTTATTAATATTTTAAACAAATGGTTTCTTATCATATGCAGTTTCAAATGAAATGATTACTCCAGACAGTATTGCTTTTATTACTATTGCCATTAATAATAATAATATTAATAATAATAATTAATATTAGAGTGATTTCCGAAGGATCATGTGACTGAAAGCTGGAGTAATAAAGCTGAAAATTAACCTTTAAAATCACTGGATTAAATGATTCAATTAAATGATAAGCTACTTTTAAACAGTTATTTTATAGTGCAAAAACATTTCACAATTGTACAATTTGAATCGTATTTCTGATTAAATAAATGCAGCCTTGGTGAGCAGGAGAAGCTCATTTTAAAACATTTAAAATTCCTACTGACCCTAAACTTTTGACGAGTAGTGCACATACATTAAATAATGCATTAAAAAAGATGGATGTAATGCTGTTCTTGTGAACTTTCTATTTGTTAAAGAAGGCAAACATGAACCACAAAAATATTAAGCAGCACAACTGTTTTCAACATGGATGATAATCTGTGAAAAAAAAAATGTTTCTTGAGAGCCTATTCAGCATATTAAGAACATTTCATCATGTGACACAAAAACTAAAGTTATGAATACTGAAAATCCAGCATTGCCATCAAAGAAGTAAATAAACCCTTTTTAACATAGACTAAATAAAAAAATGTCTTGTACAGTACACATATTATTATTAAACTATTGGGATGTGAGATGTGCTGTAAAATCTATACAAAGCATCTAATTTAAAAACAGATTTTATTACTTTGATAACTCCTGCAGTAATAGTAAAACTAATAACATTACATATTTTATAATAACAGTGGTGTTTCCCAGTGATGGGTTGCAGCTGGAAGGGCAAAGTTGGCAGTTCTTCCCGCTTTGGTGACCCCTGATTAATAAAGGGACTAAGCTGAAGAGAAAATGAATGAATGAATAATAACAGTAGCACATTACCCTCTATTGCACCATGCTGTTGATGAATGTGAAGATAAAGACTATTTACCTGATATCTCACTCACAATGTTCTATCTTAAGGCAATTTATAATCTTTGATTTTAAGTATAATTCGTATTCATGTGTATAATCATTGTCCAATAAGTGGTTAAGGTTGAGGTTTCGGGGGATGTCTCCGTTTTTAAAATTGTATGTTTTCATACAAATAAATTCGTTTTAATTCTTGTTAGCCACTTAATTAGCCACTTTTTTGACAATACATAAAATAGTTACATTTCCTATTGGGTTATCTGTTCCTGAAGTATAAACTAAATTAACTGCTAGATTTTATTTTCTTCCAGTTACTAACATGCACACAAAAATGTCAGACACACACACACACATACACTAGTCTAGAGTCTGGCTCCGGAGGGGATCTCTACACCTGTCGTCTGAATGAATCACAAAGCTCTTAGTCCAACAATATTTCAAACAGCCTCTGAAGTCAGAACATTTGCAGTAACAGAAGAGGTCTAAGGTTAACTGAGCACTCACTGATATATGAGAGATGAACTGGGCAATCTCTTTCATTTAAGCAATCAATGCAGTACAACCACAGGCCTCATATGCACTCATATGATTCCTAAATAGTCGGTGGATGATTGCGAAAGTCTCCCATTCTTATAGATGTAGTTTTAAACTTAACAAGAAGCAGGTACAATGGCATGCTACTGTAGATTTGTGTTCAGCAACAGCCGAGTTTATAAATGCTGAGGCTCTAAGTGTAAATCTATAAATTTCCCTGACACAAACACTGCGAACTGCATGCTTTATTTAACTTGTTCTGTAAGTCTGTCTCCTCTTAGGAAACCTGTTGGGAGGTTGACTGGGGAAATGCTGTGTATTGTAGAAACCGAACATATTGACTTTGTCTCATCCAGGACTGGGTCTAAACAGCTCTATTGCTCATAGGAACACATCTTTCCAAAGAGTGGTTTGTAGAAGTAAGATTAGTAGCTCAGCAGCTCTTTGATCATGAAATTCAAGTATAATCTTGGTGGAAAGCCATTTTTGACATTCACCATAAATTGTGCAAATCTGCGGCGCAGAACGGACAGGTCGTCGTAAAAATGTCTTCAGACTCTCTGATTAAAAGCAGAACAGTGGGTCTTACGAAATATGAAATACCCTAAAAAGAAAGGCAAAACGTGGTTGTACCATAGTACACAGAGATACTAGTGTCAGATGATATGTTATTGGAATCATTATCTTCTTGGAAGTTTTCGAAAACTACAATATAACCATTAACATTTTAAAAAGTATGTATTTTTACTGGTGTAGCAATGCTTTTTGGTCACATAAGTGAAACTGCCAGGTGAACTACTGTAGATGTGAAATCTCAGCTGAAACAAATGACATCATTCTTAAAATAAACCAATCAGGTTTATTTAACATTCCTAGCTAATTACGTCCCCGCAGCGTCCAAGTGAAAATGACACAAGGTTTGATTTCAAACAAAAAACACTCAAACCTAATTTAAATGGATTACAATGAGCACAGTTCTGACTTTGGTGTACGCCAGAACTTGAAAGCTAAATTTATCATATATTTAAGCAAATAAAATAAAAAAAATTCTGTTGACTAATCCAGAATGTGTGTGGTTTCTTTGAATGACTGCCGTCTGTAATCATACAATCATTGATGCCAGCAAGGTGGTTCTTTTGTCATACTATGAGCCCTGATGTTCTTACTAGAGTAACATTAGCCTCCATCAATGTGGGCATGCCAGAACAGATGGGGCTTTTTATTAGAAGCCAAATCAGACAGTCTAAATGATACTGCTGAATTAAAAATGCAAACGAATGTTATATATTTATATCCAGTTGTTGAGCAGACTCCTTGAATGAAAGTGGCACAGTACACTTATTACAGCCACATTCCCCCGGAACAATTGAGCTTTAGTGTTTTGCTTGAGGGCATCATGGCTGAGCATCAAACTTTTTTCTACTTCACCCACACACACACAAAAAAAGAAAATTCTGTAATGACTTACTGAGCCTAATTATCATGTCCACTCATTTATATGATGGCAGTTTAAATTAAAGCAATAGTACACCTAAGAGTTTACAAGTATTTTTATTTTTTACATTTATGAATGTAGCCTACTATATAGAGAGATTAGATACAAAAATCTTTAAATGTCGTCTGAAATTTTCTTCTGAAATGAACATTTTTATCAGGCTCCTGTGTGTATGTTTAGTAATTTTATTTTTACGGCAAAGTATAAGTCATTTTTATGGTCTTTAAAGTGAAATAACACAACATAAACAAAGGAGGCTGAAGAAAATGTTCATTCTCGATGGGAATTTGAATAGCACAGAGGTTACTCTTCATATTTCACTTGGGTAAAGTTTTTTTTAGTTTTTCTTTTTTATATATTTGTATTTATAAAAACGTATTTATTGTATTTATGTAAACAGAAAATAAAATCTCCATTTCGATCTGTTGTAAAAAAATATTTTAAGGGATCTAAGTAGATAAAATATCTAAAAAATACATGCATGAAAATATGACTACTACTTTTTTAAGGTCAACATGACACTACTTAAAGTTAAAAGTACATTTAAGTTTACAGTTATAAACAACTTAATAATATTACATTCATTTTTAAAAACCTAATGGCAGAATAATAGCAGTAATAATTGATTAATAATAGGCAAATCTCTGTAATATGTTGTGTATATTTCCATTTTTTGCCAAACTTTGCCTAGTTTTGTCTCATTTCCATGAAGTAAAACATGAAATAAATAAACAAACAAACAAACAAACCCATAATAAACATACATTTACACACACTCATACACTATGGTCAATTTTAGCATACCCAATTCACCTGTACCACATGTCTTTGAACATGTGGTATAAAACGGCAGCAGAGGAAATCCACGCAAACATTCAGAGAACATGCAAACTCCACACAGAAATGCTAACTGACCCAGCCGAGGATCGAACCAGTGATCTTCTTGCTGTTAGGCGAACATGCTAACCACTCCGCCACCACATCTCCTAAAACAAGTAAAATAACCTAAAATAAAACAAATATTGCTGTCAAAAAAGACTGAACACCACCAGGTTTAAAAAACTACTTATTTTAGTACATAAAAAAACATATTTTTTGTACAATAGTATATGAAGTGTATATTTAAGTGTCTACATGGAAAAACATACCAATAAAGCACCTTTATTACAAACAGTCAAATTGCTGGTTTTGTTCTCAGTTTGTTGTATCAATTCTATATATTTTGGAAATAGATTTATATAGTGCAGTTAAAAATACAGACAAAACCACTAAAATGTTTTTTAGAATGTTCTTGGTTTCTATTTATTCATTTAATAGTTCTGCGAAAAAATTAAAGAAAAGCTAAATAAATATATGTTTTTAGGTCATCTATCTCTTTAATTTATTATGCCTGATCTAGCTCCATACATAATGCCTAATGTTCAGCATGCCTTTACATGCTTCCCTAGTGGGTTTATGTGTCACCTTGGGAATTTTCTGCACAGGTGCTGCATAGCTTACAAAACCCAAATAGTTATATTCGTGTTTCTGTTTATACTGGAGCTCGGCTACCAGTCACTCAATGGTTTCATCTTAGCTCATAGCTCCCTTTGTTTCCATGTATTAAACAGAGCGTCTTTGTTGTTGAGCCAAAGACATCACCCATTTGCTTGAGTAGTGTCAGAAGAACAATCTCAATTTCATTGTGTCCACTCTGAGTCATCTGGGTGCCTATTTCTTTACAGTCACTCTTGATTTTCTGAAGACAACTCGATAATGGATATCTACAGGGAAAATACAGATTATTGAAATTTGTCCCCATAAGAGGGATAATGTAGATCACCAAAAGATGAAAATTCTGTTATCATTTTCTCAAAATCTGCTTTTTTGAAGTCTGATTGAGCTTTTTTTCTCTATTGAACACAAAATAAGTTATTTTAAAAAACGTTGGAAACCAGTAGCCATTAGCTATGTTTCTATCCATAGGTGCGAATTAGATTTATGTCAAAAACTGGAATATCACATAAATAAATAAAACATTTGGGAATAAAACACAGTCTCCATCCAATGAGTCAAAGAGAACACAATCACCACTTCCACAGAATTTGCTGCGATAGAAAAAGCGAATAAAAGAACCCCTTTTTCTTACAAAATAAATCAGTTTCACATCAGAAGACAAGACAGAATGCAATGAATGCATGGTAGCTTTTGTTGCCTTGAGACTGCTCTTTGGGAGCACAGCCGCTCAAGACAAATGTGGGAGGTAATATTATTGAGCCACCTTGAAGATGGACTTTGGCTAAGGAATTTTAGAGTGACCAAAACAACATTTCAGATGTTTTACGATGTGGTCTGTCCACTGGTTTGTCCATAAATGCCATCTCACTTGTCTATATTTGCTATCACATGATCGGTAAAAACAAAATCATATGATGTTTTTATGTGCACTGTCGGAATTTATTCGGTAAATGTGTTTCTATTGTAGTTTATGCACAATTTTACTTTATCGGATGAAACGTTTATCCTATACTCAGTTGTGCACTTACACTCACGCAAATTTGTTATCAGCCAATCACATGGCAGCACCTCAATGCATTTGAGCATGTAGACGGACTGCTGCAGTTCAAACCGAGCATCAGAATAGGGAGGAAAGGTGATTTAAGTGACTTTGAACATGGCATGGCTGTTCTACTGGGATTTTCACGTACCTAGGGTCTAGGGTTCACAGAGAATGGTCACTGAGTGGTAGTTCTGTAGGCACAAATGCCTTGTTGATCCCAGAGGTCAGAGGAAAATGGCCAGATTGGTTCGAGCTGATAAAAAGGCAACAGTAACTCAAATAAACACTCGTTACAACCGAGGTATGCAGAAGAGCATCTCTGAATGCACAACACGGCAAACCTTGAGGCAGTTGGGCTACAGCAGCAAAAGACCACACCATGTTTCACAAGAAAGTGAGGCTACAATTTGCACAGGCTCACCAAAATTTGAAAATAAAACATTTGCCTGGTCTGATGAGTCTCAATTGTCGCGGCGTCCCCGACAACACCCTCATCACCTGCGCCCTCAGTTATATCTGCGCCTAGGGCGGCATAATAGAGAGGACGGAATCCACGACAGCTCCCTCACCACCCGCCCCCGGGTTTCACTTTCGGATTGAGGGTGGTGTGACTGTCTTTTGCTTAGAGCGGCAGTTCAGCTTGCTCCAGCCCTGTGTCCATCCCTTTATGACCACAATTCACCCATCTTCTGATCGTTACTTCCAGCAGGGTTACACACCATGTCATAAAGCGCAAATCATTTCAGACTGGTTTCTTGAACATGGCAATGCTTTCACTGTACTCAAATGGCCTCCACAGACACCAGATCACAATCCAACAGAGCACCGCTGGGAAGTGGTGTAACGAGAGATTCGCATCATGAATGTACAGCTGACAAATCTGCAGCAACTGCGTGATGCTGTCATGTTAATATGAACCAAAATCTCTGAGGAATATTTCCAGTACTTTGTTGAATTTTTGCCACAAAATTTTAACGCAGTTCTACAGGCAAAAGTGGGTCCAACCCAGTACAAGGTGTACCTAATAAAGCGGCTGGTGAGTGTAGGTTTTGTTATCCAGACTTTCAAAGTTCATAAGCATGTTTGCTATTTCATTAAGCATTTTTATGTGATATTACAAAATGTACATAAAAATAGGTGAATTGAAACAGTATTGACTTCTATGGCTTTTATTATATTTTTGGCCTAATTTGGCTGTAAATGAGTATAAGCAATGTTGATGGTTGGTGGTTAATTCCACTGTGGCCCCTGATTAATAAAAGAATTAAGCCGAAAATGAATGAATTACTATATACCTGAATAATGTTTGAATACTCAGAAAACAATAAAAAAAAGAAACTGTTTATTTCAGTTGTATCATTTTCCTTATTGTATTAACGTGAGCTTGTGGATTGTTTATTAAATTTAATGCCCAACAGAATCCTCCCATTCCATCTAATATTATAAATTCTTTCCAAATAGAGATTCAAGTCATCTGATGAAATTGGATTCTTATTCAAATACATATCGCAGAATAACAAAATATGGCAATGTTAAACTTTTCCAATATCAAGCAGCCCTGTTTAACATCATCTAAATGTATTTTAAGATGAAGGCACATGTGGACAAATGTGACAGTTTTGTTGTGTACTCAAATATGACAGTAAATGAGATATTACACCATGACTGTATTTAATAAGAAACAGGCTGAATCACTGCTAGCTTCATCAGTCAATAAATTATGCATTTCAATTATGCATAAAACATCACAAATCTTCATGACATTAAAACACTCATGACGGAAAACTAAAACCCCCTGGTCTTAAACAACTGTCATGACTTGACCTGGTATAAATCTTATTTCCCTCTTGAGAGGCAAGACTTAACTAGAAGAAGGTCAGCGGATCTAACAGAGCAGCTGACTCAGGAGACGGGTAGAGCGGAGAGAGACGAGGCGATGAGATAAATGACTAGGGGGATGAGGAGAATACCTCAGAAAATGAGCCCGGCAGCGATGAGAGGAATAAGGTATGATGTCAGACTCCATTAATGAAAGAGAGGATGATTGAAGGAACACCGGGCAGCAGGGTAAATGCCAGAACAGTCAGATCATCAGCTGCCAATAGGCTTGACTGTGTTCCCCAGGAGGACGACACCAGGACTTGACTGACACATCCACGAGGTGCTATTTTTAGCCCACTTGTAAACCAGCGTGGGTCAACAGATTGTTTCTATCCCAGTCACTTGCTGTTTTTGTCTAAACTGTTCCATGGTTTGCTGCTGTTAAGTAGTGGCTCTGAAAGAATTTCACATCTGATTATATTCATTTTTTAGAAAATGTATCCAAAGCAATGTATATAAAATTTAGATTTTTTTTACATACTCAGACCCGTAGCCAGGGGGGGTTCAAGTGGTTAGAAAGACCCACCCTCACTGACAAGGGTCCAGAATTTGTTCAATATATAAGTTCATTTGTCCTATTTTGACTGCTATGCCATTATAAATAGTGAATATAATCTATCAAAAACCCATCAAATGAAAATTTATTTACATGCATTTGTTATCTCTGAATTTTCAAATGTACTTTTTTTTACGAGAGGCTAGAAAAATTGTGAAACTCTAAATTATTGTTATTATTATTATTTAAATTGCCAAATTCTGACTGAGGAAAGTTAAATGTGCTAACCAGTTTGTTATTTATAATTTGCCCAACAAATGACAATAGGCTAGTTTTTAATTGAAACCTTTTTTTAATGGTATATGATGTAATAAATTTGTGTTTTAATTTAAATGTTTTTCATATTTTTTTTTTATTCTGAATTTAGGAAATATTTTTGGTAAATCAAAAAATGTGGTTATGATGACACTCCGACAAGCTAATCCAGCAAAAAAAAGTGCATAAAATTCATTTAAATCTCATAATAAAATAAAAAAGTAAGGTGTATAATTGGAATAAGGTCCACTTAAAAAAAAAAAAAAAAAAAGAACCATCCCTTTCACCAAGCTGGCTCAGGTCTGATATTGAACCACATAATGTTTCTTTACACATCCCCAACTATTGAACTGGCATTCATGGTGTTCAAAGTAAGTCGCTTTGATAAAAGCGTCTGCTAAATGACTAAATGTAAATGTTTTGCAAGCAGTGATGGAGAAATTACTTAGAAACTGTAGTCTGATTACAAGTTACAGAGTAAAGAAACTAGCAATAAGTAATTTACAAGTAATCCAAGAGTAGTCAGAAAACATTACCTCAAATAACAAACAAGCAACAATTAAAATGTATTTCTCACTGAATAATTAAAGAGATTCTTAAAATTATATACTGTATCTAATTTATCCAGTAACGAAGCCCAGTTTATATATTGTATCATTTTTTTATTGGCATTTTTGGAATGAGAGGAATGATGGGCTCGGCAAAGGTCTACAAACTTGAACCATGCTATTTGACAGAACACTGCCCACAATATGTCATAAAAGCTTTTATAATATGGTAAATTCTTTTAAAAAATGTTATTGTCTATTCAGAATTATACAGCTCTATTGTGATTATCTAGGCTAAACTATATGACACTTTGTGAAAAGTTGGAACACATAAAATAAGCAATATGCAGAATAAATTAATTACAAATTTTGAATCTGACTATATAATCCAGATTACCGGTAACAGTTACTACCCAGCAGCGTTTGCAGGTACTTCAACTTATTCTACAAACCCCAACTAAACAGTCTACTAAAGGGCTGACTATCCATTCTCAAGCAGTTGTGGAGTTAGCAACAGTCAACAGAATATCTAAACAGGCCCAACAAAATAAACTCTAATCCTTGTTTCCTCAGGTGACTCCGGGCAGTAAAGCATCTCGGGTCAACCTGTGTCCTGGAGACATCATTCTGTCCATCCAGGGAGTGTCTACAGACGGCATGACTCACGCTGAAGCCCAGAACAACATCAAAGACTCAACCAATCAGCTTTTCCTCAAGATAGAGAGGTACCATGAGCTTTTCTCATTAAAGGATAGCGTTACCAACAGCACCAAGCAGCTTTCAACAACTTTATATCATGTTCTCTCACCTCCTTTTAAAGTTACAGCCAGAGGGAGGACTGTTACTGTAGGTGGTGTCCCAAAAGAATTTGTCTTTACCCCTTGTCTATTACCCGTTGCCCACAGAGCCTTATTTATGACGACAGTGAACGTATCTTTCTTAGTGATTAATACCCTCCCATAAACCATCTGGCTTGTACATGCCAGGCAGTTGACGCTACTTTACTATCTAGAAGTCATGGCTCTGTTGCACAGTAATGACCCCCCTCAGTGCCTTTAGATCTTTTTTTTATGATTTCGCAGGGGGTAAAAGCGGAGCGTCTAACTGTGTGCAATAAATGTGTTGCAGGCCTGAAACAAAAATCTGGTCACCTCAGGTTATTGAAGAGGGGAAGGTGAACCCATTCAAAATCAATTTGGAGGCAGAGAAGCAAGTGAGTGTAACAAATGTACAGCTCTTTATTTTTATCTGCTTATAGGCAGCAAGAAATGGATAATAGAAGATTTTTTTCTAGAAACATTAAAGTGCATGAGGCATGTTAAAGGGATACTCCATCAAAAATATTTGATACTCTGATCATTTATGTACCCTCGGGCTGCCTCATAAGTACAATACTTATTTTCTTTTTTAAAGTGCACAGATTTTAAAGACAAATAGTAAATTTGAATCTACAAAAAAAGGGTGAATGGAACCCTTAAAGCGAAAGCTTCAAAAATCATGAATCAGTAGGTTATGAACAAAATAATGTACCCCAGAGTACACTACCTGACAAAAGTCTCGTCCACTACTCAAGTTTTAGGAACAACAAATAATAACTTCTAGTTGATCATTTTGTATCAAAAGTGGCTTATATGAAAGACAAAGGCCTCTTGATTAGACTTATTTTACCACAATAAAATAATATCATGCCTTGATTTTTAATTATTTAAATAGGACAGTAAGGTCTGACTTTGCTTAGACAAAATCTTGTCACATAAAGAAATAATGTACAGTATAGAATATAAAGTCATGGTGCAGTGGAAAAAGAATTAATTTTGTGTATGACTCTCACGAGCTTGGGCCACTGCATCCTTACATCTCTGCAATGTCTAAGCAGGACTCCCAGAGTTCATCAAGATTCTTTGGATTCATCTTCAGTGTCTGCTCCTTCATCTTACCCCAGACATGCTCAATATGGTCAAGTCTGGTGACTGGGCTGGCCAATCCTAAAGCACCTTGACCTTATTTGTTTTCAGTAAACGTTGACGTGGAGGCTAAAGTATGAGAAGGAGTGCTATCCTGCTGAAGAATTTGCCCTGTCATGTGGTTTATAATGTAATCGGCAGCACAAATGTCTTGATACCTCAGGCTGTTGATGTTGCCATCCACTCTGCATATATTTTGCACCCCCTCATACTGAATTTAACCCCAAACCATGATTTTCCCTCCATCTAACTTGACTGATGTCTATGAGAATCTTGGGTCCTTGCAGGTTCCACTAGGTCTTCTGCAGTATTTGTGATGATTGGGATGCAGTTTAACAGATGATTCCTCAGAAAACCTTCTGCCACTTTTCCAAATGATCACCTAGAAGTCAAGTTATTATTTGTTGTTCTTAGAACTGGGATCGACGACACGACTTTTGTCAGGTAGTGTAGACTTTGCTTGACGTGATCTGGGAAATAATGGTTTAAAATTAAGGCTTAAAAAGTAGCTAAACGCTGTTTAAAAGAAAAATATACAGTACAACGCAGATTTTCTTCCTAATTCCACCTATCATATTGCTTCAGAAGATATTAATTTATTAACTGGGAACTTGTAGGATTAAATTATATCAATCGCCTGTGGTTTCTGATGCATTCTGCAGTATATACACCTAATATGGACTTAACAAATATAGACTATTGTTCAAAAAATATTTAAAAAAAATCTAGAAAATGCTAACTTTTGAAGGTTCCCAATTTACTTTTTTTTTGTTTTGTTTTTAAATACCATTATGAGTATGGTGTAAACTACTTGAAGCTACACCATTTGCTCAATCTAATGAGGAAAACATGACTGCAGAACAAAATATCAATCTGCACAGGTGCATAGTGTTTCTCTAAAAAGTAACCTTACCAAATGCTGGTCTATTATGTCTATTATTATAACAGCTTTTAGTTATTTTCACTGATCTGACAGCATTGTTATAAATATTACTTAATTAAAAAAAAAAAAAAATAAATAAATAAATAATATATATATATATATATATATATATATATAAATGTTAATATAATTTAACATACTTTTTTAGTATATTGTTGATGTGTAAACAATGGGAGAATTTGCATGATTATATGGAGTGTCTCTTTAAAAATTGTGCAAAGCTACCCATTTTTGTTTGCCTGAAGTAGATTCGTCCTTGTTCAACATGATATTACTAAAAAAAAAAAAAAAAAAAAAAAAAAAAACATTCTTTTAAAAAGTACTACAATCTTTTGTAAATAAGGTCATCACTGGTTTACAGTATGTGCAGTGTGCACACATTGAAAAAAAGTAGATGTCCCTTTTTTACCATAAGATATATTCCACAATTGACCAAAAATAGCGTAACAGTTTTAAAAACTTTTGTAATTGTGCGTGTGCAGTAGTCTTAACGAAAGGACATATCTGGATAATGTGGTATGGAAATGCAGTGTTTGTGTGGGGCTTTAAGTATGTAGTGTGTCCATCTGTCCTACACATGCAGGAGTATAAACCTATTGGCACAGGTCATAACAGAAGAGCACAGCCCTTTGTGGCTGCCGCCAGTCTGGATGACAAAACACAGGTGGTGAGCTCCACCTACAACACTCCCATAGGCCTCTACTCTCAAGATAACATCCAGGACGCCCTGCAAGGACAGATCCGGGGTCTGGTGCATGAAAAGCCTGAGGGGTGAGTGCCAACTTGGATCACCCCGACCATATGGAATAAGATAGTTCCCTCTGCTTGCTGTAGACCGGCTTCCCTCTAACCACTAACCCTCACACTGGCCATCCAGAAATCCTCACAAGTCTTCCTGCCGCCCCAATGAAAGCATATTGGATTTAATATGATGAGAAAATATGTTAATTGCTTTCTGTTAGCGATAAGAAAGGCCAAGCTCTTGTTTAATAGCTAAGCACTACAGCATTAGCAGAGCAAATATGCATTGGGCCTGCAGTGTTGGATCTTGGAGGATTTCTGCTCCTCTACCTTTCACCTCTAACTGTCAGTTAACATCTTCATTCTTATGTCTTACAGGACATTGATTACTTCGAACACAAGTTTAATGTCAGACCAAAGCCCTTCACATCTGCAAGCCAAAGGAGGTCATTAGATAAAAGCATTCACAGTATTACACTTTTCAAAAGCAGAAGATTAGCATGGAATGAAGCTACATGTACATCTCTAACAACTTTGTCCATTCTTTTCTGTCTTGTCTGTCCTTTTCTGTGGTCTTTCTGATTTGATTGCTTCCTGGTTTGGTACCTGCTGGCTATTATACATTGACCTTACTCAACTCCAGTGACAGTACATCTCAGACGCTGATGGGAAATGTAGCTCAGATGGCTGGCACCCCATCGACAGCTCATTCTGTACAGTATAACTCCCCCATTGCATTATACTCGGCAGACAATGTATCAAATACATTGCAGCAGGCTCAGATGTCCACTGTAGTCAGGCAGGCATCGCCCAGGTAACCAGAGCTTTGTTTCCATTACACTTGCTTTACCTCCTAGCTTGTCCTGATACAGCAAATATACATGAATTAGCACTGATAGATTGAAGAAGTGGTTTAACAGCATTGTGACAAACTGACACTTCCCTTACTGTAAAAAGCTATTAGTTTGCTTTACTTAAAAAGTGAGTAGATTCACAGGTTTTAAAGCAATTAGTTGAATGTACTTAAAAAAGTAAGTAAACTGTTATCTTAAAATTATTAAGTAAATTAATTGCATGCATAATTATAAAAATGAAATTCCCTCAACTCAACCATCCCAAGTTTTAATGGATTTACTCACTTTTTAAATCAATGGTCTCAAACTCAATTCCTAGAGGGCCACAGCTCTGCATAGTTTAGCTCTAGCCACCTCCAAATCACACCTGCTTAATAGTCTCTACTAGTCTTCAACACCTTGATTAGTTGGATCAGCTGTGTTTGATTAGGGTTGGAGCAAAGCTGTGCAAAGATATCTTCCTGCCCCATTTGGAAACATCAGTTATTACTTAAAGTGAAATGAAAAGTACTCATAAAATTATAGGGCCCTATGAAAACTATTTTATTCATTTTCTTTTAGTCCCTTTAATAACCCAAGGTTGCCACAGTGGAATGAACCGCCAACATATTCAGTACATGTTTCACGCAGCTGATGCCCTTCCAGCCGCAACCTATCTCTGGGAAACATCCATACATACCCATTTACACTTATACAGTACGGACAATTTAGCCTACCCAATTCACCTGTACCGGATGTCTTTGGACTGTGGGGGAAATCGGAGCACCCGGAGGAAACCCAAATGAACGCAGGGAGAACATGCAAACTCCACAGAGAAACGCCAACTGACCCAGCCGACTGCGCCACTGTGTAACCCTGAAATCCATTTTATTTTTTCACAAATTCTGTTGTATTTATTTCCCATTTTCTTTTTCTTGACTTTATAAAAGGTGGTCAAGAGAGCTTAAACGCACTTAAGAAAACAAATAAATACAGGAAAACACTAACAAATTAAGAAAAGTGTCAATTTGACAACATACACGTTCAAATTCTCACAACACATGCAAATACAGAAACATACTGCAAGTAGCACAAACCACAACGAGTATGTGTTGATGGATCCCAAAAACAGCTGCTTCCTGTTCCTTTCATTACAAAAATCTGTATTTTGCAGAAAATATTTGTGCACAATGGAGGAATTCCTTGTGCTTTTTTGACTTATTTATAATATTATTAACACTTTTTAGTGCTCAGCTTTTACACTTATCAGATTAGCACATTTTTTTTCGTTGTTCTGTTGCAAAAAAAAAAAAAAAAAAAAAAGCTATTTATTTTTCCTGTATGTTTAATTTCTGTCTTAAAAATGACAGCATGAACCAAGAGAACCAAATCCCAAATCTGAACATACCCCAATATCCATAACATGACCTCCTGAACACTATTAGACTGTTAAAGGTTTAGGATGTATATAGCTAGAACATTGATTTTTCACCTTATGGCCTGTTATCTGTTTTCAGCTCTAAACCGCTGACGTCTATTGAAGACTCCCATGTGTACCGTATGCTCCAAGATGCCAACGAGCAGCCACATGAACCACGTCAGTCTGGATCATTTAAGGCCCTGCAAGACTATGTGGAGAGTGATGGTGAGCCGCTTTTATCAATCACACCAGCCTTTACAAGGGAGCAAGGTTGGCTTCATGAGACAGAGGTTACAGATAGAAGCATGATGAAGTCATCACAGTTGAAATGTCAGCTTTTTTGTTGTGAATTACCAGTAATTGATGAGTAATCATTTTTACAGGCTCATTTTTACAGGCTTAATTTGAGCAATCCTCAGCAATCCTGCTAATGACATCAGTCAACCTGCCATTCTCTTAATCGTCTGCATTCAGATTAGTTTATATGAGGGTGCATTTCAAATTCCCAAAGTGAATCTGAGGGTTTTTCCTTTATTTTCCTGACAGGCACAAGGCCCATGGTGACTAGAAGTGTAAAAGCTCCAGTGACAAAGCCCCAAGCCGCCACTTCTTCACTGCAGAAGCTGCCTCTCTGTGATAAATGTGGCACAGGCATTGTGTGAGTACAGCATTCAGCATGAGTCCGCACAGATGGTGTCTTCATTGAGAATATATCACCAGTTTTCATGAAACACACTGAATTGTGTTCACGCATTTTGACAACTTCATTAAATTAAACCTTTTTTTTTATCCTCCAATGGGCTCGCAGAGGAACGGTGGTGAAAGCTCGGGACAAGTACCGCCATCCAGCCTGTTTTGTGTGCTCAGACTGCGGCATGAACTTGAAGCAGAAGGGCTACTTCTTTGTGGATGGACAGATGTACTGTGAAGCCCATGCTCGAATGAGGATGACCCCACCAGAGGGACATGATCTAGTTACAGTGTATCCTACTGCTTAGACTAATGCCAAAACTCAGACCTCACGCAAATGACAGCTGAAATCAGAGAGTTGGTAATTCATTGCTACTTCTTGAAGTTTTGTTAAAATCACAACTCTGGTTAGTAAGTGGGCATTTGTACACAAGAACAATGCACTAAATGATAAATGGTTTTTAAAAGGTTGTATATACAAACCCAAATAAAATAAAGTTGGGACAGTATAGAAAACGTAAAATAATAAAAGGAAAGTAGTAGGGATGTTCCAATCAGATTTAACAATCAAGTAATAAATATCATAAATTCTTCACCTCTTGCAATTCCAAGTTTTCATATATCACAGTTTGCTATGGCAATGTTGTCATCATCAACTTTATAATACCTCCAGACCACAGACATACTCGCGCTTTCCGCTTCAAGATGCTTTCGTGTTCTACTTTGCCGGCATTGAATCAATAGCGTCTCTGCAACAAAGTGATGTCAAGCTGCACACGTTGCTGTTTCTGTGTGAAGTCAGGAATGAGGTCTAACTCTGTGCCACCGCATACCTATAGACGTGTTAAAAAATAATAAGAATATATATGTATACATATATATTCAAGTCCTGATTGGGAGGTAACGTCTGAGTCTGAAATTGCGTGATCAAAGCAGATGTCGGTTCTTGTGGTCATATCTGGACATCCCAAGAAATAGGTATTTCTCAATTTACTTTGACTTGTATTTTAATGTAAAACCACTATCTGCACACATTACAAAGTCCGGGCTGCAGAAAAAGAGGATACTGGCCCGCCTGCAGCCCTGACCTGTCTCTAATAGAGAATGTGTGGCACATTTTGCGATGTGAAAAAATGCGCCAACGAAGACCTCTTAAGTTTGTCTACCTAAAGACTTGTTTATAGGATGAAAGGGACAAATTTACACCTGAAGCACTTCCTCACTTGGTGTCTTCAGTCCCTAAACGTCTTTTAAGTGTTGTGAAAAGAAATGGCAAAAAAAAAAAAAGAAATTACAAAGTGCTAAATGCTTTACCGTTCCAACTTTTTTTGAAATTCATTGCAAGAACCAAAATTGGAATACTGGTTTATTTTGAAAAAAATAAATAAAATAAATAAATAAGCAAATAAATAAATATCACACAGAACACATTAAATAATGTTTGTTGTATTGTCTACAATGAAATACAAGTCAAAGTAAATTTAGAAGATCACTACTTTATTTTTTTCATCTGTTTTCCAAACTGTCCCAATTTTTTATTTTTTTTTGTCAAAACGCTCCTTGTTCACATGAATCTACAAAAACAATTAAAAATATTAAATTCTGCATACTAGGCCAGCATCTGGCTGAACAGAAACACTACAGGTACACGCCTGAACACGTATGGTTCTGTTATTTGCCATCATTATTTTGGTTGCCAAGTTCTCATACTCCAAATTTATGTAGTTTACTATACATGTTGTTATAATTATATTGTTATAATTTAAAAAAGGCAATTTAAGACATGTTTAAAACTGTTTTAGTCTCTAAAGGTGCACAAGAATGGCTAAAGCAACTAAAAAGTTTTTTATTTTTACTTGAAAATGATAAGTACTGCAAATACACCCCCTAAATCTGAATTCAAAACAAAAGGTGTTGTAAGGGCAATGAAAGCTACTTAATTGATATCCTACACACCTTACATTACTGGTATAAACATGTTTGAAACTTATGATCACTTGTCTTCAGATTTCATTGCGACCCTTCCCAACTGCAAACATGAAAATAATATTAATAAAAACGAGTGGGCAAAAAGCAAATGAAATTTAGGAGGGAAACTGATGTTTACCTTAATTTTTATTTTGGTGCAATTCAGAGAAGAATAACCTGAAAGCATTTGGTACGCTTTCTCATAATTTATTCCAGAACAATCACAAATGAAAAGAGTGTGCAGCAAATAACTGCTCTGCTCTGCTCTGCTCTGCTATTTTAAATAATTTTAAAGGATTTAGCACTGATCAGTGCTGATCCAATGACAAAAATATATATTTGTACCTAGTTGTTGTTGAGAAGCCATTACACTCATATTTCTTACATATTAGGAATATATGCAGATACAATTTCAACAAACACTGTTGCTGTAATTTTCAAGAATTCTGTCCATATATGCACAGATGGTAATATTGCTTTCAATACAGTTTCGCACATGCCTTCATTTGCTATTCATCCTGGGAGAATTTCCAGAATAGTCTTTCTTTAAAAAGTAAACCCCTTTCAGTTAAAATAGCTTTTTGTAATGTAAAAACAATATATAACACATTCATTCACCTGAAGACATGACAGGATCTCAAAAGGACATCACAGACGGGATTCGATTGTAGTTTGTGGAGTTCACAGCCCTGTAAAATAAAGTGATATAACAGTGAGACTGAAGTATCTTTCATGGTGGAATTTCATCAGCTGATACTAGTGATTATTATTATACTATTATTATTATGGAAAGCAATAAGCTTCAGAGTGCAATACGGGTGTCTTGGTGCCGGTTCTTTGACCCCTGCTTACTTGTTAACATTAAGGCTGATGATACTCTTTATAGGTGTGCTTTTTGGACCAGGAGATGGGTGAAATATCTTTACTTCATTATTCGCCACAACTGATTTAGTTTTTTTGGTGCCGTAGGGTTCTGCAGAGTATGTGGGGTACGAATCAAATGCTCCTGCTTTCATCCCTCCAGCCTGCAGAAAACAAGAATAAAACCACATTCTACCATATGAATAAATCACATTAAAATATTTATCTCCATGTAAGAATATTATGTACCTTTTTACTGGGTGAACTCGGCTTAAAGGGCACAGCAAAGTGCTTTTTCTCCTCAATCTTCTTTGGAGGGGGTAGAGGCTTGTCAAATTTGTAAGGATTGCCGTCAAAGTATTCATTTGGATGAAGGTTCAAACGAAATGCTCCACCTTTCAGCATGGATTTGTGCGCTGTGATCTCACGCTGGTAAACAAATTATCTCTCTCATTAGATAAAGAGAACACAGTCATCTGCTTGCATAGAATTATACTGTCAGGTACTCAGAGGAGGCCTTATCTTAATTAAAACAAGGACCCAGGAGTGTGATTAAAAATCTCATTTAGGTAGACCTAAAAATACCTTTAGCATTTCCTTGGCTCGATCGTAGGGGTCTGAGGAATAGGACACCATCTTGGAGAGGGTAATGTCAGGATAGCTATTAGAGAGCAAAGACAAATCAATATGTATCATGACAAAACCACAGAAACGTAAACAATTAAGTCATTTGCTTACCCATAACCACTTCCTTTCTTGGGTGGATTGGTGTAGAAGTTTTTACCGGCAGATTTGTTTTGTTTTCTTGGGATCTGTAGGGCACTCATTGCTTGAATGGGACCTCCAAATGTCCCATAATAGGTGCCCATTCCACATCTACAAAACAAAGAATGCTACTAGCCAACTGTAAGGAAAATTCTAGCAATGTTAACTAGAAAAAAATGTGTATGCTGTGTAACATTTTCATTTATTTTATTCGGCTTAGTCCCTTATTAATTAGGGGTAACCTAATTTATTAGGGAATGAACCAACAACTATTCTGACAAATGTTTTAAGCACTGAATGCCCTTCCAGCTGCATCCCAGTATTAGAGAAACACTACACTTTCACATTCACACACGCACTCATTCACTCTGGCCAATTTAGTTTATTCAATTCACCAATACCACATGTCTTTGGACTGTTTTGGAAAACGGAGCATCCGGAGGAAACCCATGTGAACATGGAGAACATGCAAACTCCATACAGAACTGCCAACTGACCCATCTGGGACTCGAACCAGCAACTTTTTTTTTGCCATGATGTGACAGTGCTAACCACTGAGCCACCGTGCCACCCCTGTGTGGCATTTTTTCTGATATAAATATAGGAAGGGGGTAAAAAACTAAACAAAATGCAGACATCTCACTCCTTCTATGACTTGCAGCTTAAATGGCTGTTGTTCTTTACATTTTAGGTATATTTTCTTTCTCCAGTCTCTTAGATGCACATGAAAAACAGAGTGCTTGCATTTGATGCTTTGAACTATTGCAATATGCTGAAATCCAGGTTTCATTCATTTTTAAAAATTAAGAACTATATCTTGATTTCAGGTCAACAAACGGTATTGAAAAACAAAAAAGTGTGCTTCTTTCTCAACAGAATCTGGGTTGTGGGCTGTTTTTTTTATGTCTGTGTTATCTCACGCTAATGAAATAGCCTTAAACCAAATACATCTCAGGTGCAACTTTGAACTCCCTGGTAAGCAGCTCCTGCAGGGCCAGAGTCCAACAGAGTTCACTCCAATGGCTTGCTCCAACACACATGCCTGTAGTTTTCAAATAAGCCTGAAGGACCTGATTATCTGGATCAGGTGTATTTAATAAGGGTTAAAGCTAAAATTTACATGACTCTAGCCTTCCTGTTTTGCAACCCATGTTACTACTAGGTTCAGTGAAGCTATTAAACATTAAAAGGATAATTCATGCATAAAATCATTCATTTTCTTCCAGTTTAAACCTCAATCATTTTTTTTTCTGTCAAACAAAAACATAGAGAAATTGTCTCTGTGTTTTTAGTCCACAAAATTGAGTCACCAGACCTGTTTGGTAATATTATATTATTTAATTACTTTTGACTATTTTAGTCAGGAAGTCAGCTTTGGAGCAAAATTAGTTTGAGTAAAAAAGCTATAATTTTAGTGTTTAGTAGACATCATTGATCTACACCTTAGTTCCCTTACAAAAAATGAACCATGGTTTTACTAGAAATTAAATAACAAAACAAAACATGGTGACCATAAATCAATTACTTTGCTACAATAAAAATAGTTTAGGAAGATGTTTGCAGTGAAATGTGGTTATACAGTGTATTCTGGAAATTAATGGTCTCAAACTCAATTCCTGAGGGCCGCCATTCTGCATAGTTTAGCTCCAACCACCTTCAACTTATGCTGTGGTCACACTAGAGTTTGTGTATGTGAAATTCTGTTGTATGGCGCTGTGAAAAGGGGCGGGAATAAACAAGATGATTA